TGGCTGTCCATTCATCTGCATTGGCAGCAGGGAGCTGTCAAGAACCCACAATGGTCACATTCCATTCCCAAGCGCTATTGTTTTCACTCCCATTTGGGCAATCCTTCCCCCCCCCAACCCAAACCTACTCTAAAAGCATAACCCGAGAGACTTTGAGTTTTTACAAAAAAAAATGAACGCACGCTTCACATGCGTGAATATTTGTTTTTTTTTTACATCTTGGCAGAGTGTTCTTTTTCGTTTTGACATGGGTGTGCCACACCCGGCAGTTCTCACTGTCGTTGAATAAAGTGTCGCGCAACTTTATTGGAAACTTGTTGAGCTTTTCCTTTCGAGCAGGCCAATTAAATGCGCGTTAACACGATTGTTAAACTTTTTTTTTCCAAAGCGACACGTGCACGCGAAAGAATTAGTGATGGTCTACCAGAAATAAATGTATATGTGTTTTGCGAAAATAGCGTGGGATTTAATCTCCGTTATCATTCTTATTAAAAACTGTAATTATACATTTGTATGATGATGCTTTGCAAGAGCATTTTATTCGCAAATGGCGGGTTGGGAGGTTAAATGGGTACGTATGTTGAACTTCTTTTGCACCATACGTAGCCAATTGTGTGAATTGGAGGTGCGGGGGAAGGGGAGCAAAATAACACATAAAGCAGTTACAAAGAAATTCGCTTTCAGTCAAGATGGGAAAGTGCATAGCTCCAGTGGCTTCTCAATGTCGGAAGGAAGAGCGTTCCAGACGGCCGCAGAAGTGCATCTGAAAGCATGCGGTGACCGTCTTTGTTCGATGGCCAGTGGTTGTGTTTTGGAGAGACTGGCCACTGCCATACGAATGGTGGTGATGCTCGTGCCCACAGGTCAGATGAATGCCACCAAACAGGAATCCAGAAAACAAGCAAGGGGCGATGCGAGTATGACCGACAACACGTTTGACTGATGGGGTTGACGGGGCACGAGAATGGAGAGTAATGACGTGGAAACGGCAGCAGCAGATGGGATGTGATGATCGCCAACAGTGGAGGACTTGCTGTTGCTGTTGCCAGAAGTTCATGGACCCAGTGATCTCCATAAAGGGAGCGAGATGGAAGCAGGAGAAAGCTCACGTCCATCGGCTCGGAGCTGACAATTTACACGGACAGTAGTACCCAATGCTCGATTGAAGAGATAGAGAGATAAACACTTTCAGTTTCTTTTGTTTTAACCAGGTGGGAACTCTAGGGACCAGGATTCTGTACTTGGATTGGCGGTTCAACATCTCACCAGCCCTCCTGCCAAAGTGTTGTCTACCCAATTGAAAACAAACATAGAGTTTAATTTCAATATATGGTGTGGTATTTTCCCCCTTATCAGTCTTAATCGTTTTGAAAGGATGACTGTGTAATTATAATTCTGCAGCTGTAGTGTTGGTTTTACCTAATGGACAATGTTCACCGGATAGCGAGGGCGTCTTGTTTACACTGAGACGATGTTTGTACGTGGGATTATTTCCTAATTGCATTGATGAATGTCAGCAGGTGCATGCTTTGACCGTGACATTGGCACAAAGCAACTGTTCTGTCTGAGAGCATCGCGCGATCTTGAAAGTTTGGAGTCTATTTTGTTGAGAGTTTGAAAGCAACTTTGGCAGCGAGGCTTAATGTACCATCCAAGTGACAGCAGACTTTCAAGTTTGTGTGCAGCACTCATTACACACACAAAGTGCTCGCCACAAATGAACCACGATGCGTTGCTCATCTCGTCAAGGAGCATAAACCATCGCTCGAACTCCAGTCACGCTCGCAGAGCCCAACTAACAAAGACGGTGATCACCGCATCGCGCGGCGCTTTCAGATGCGATTCTGCGGCTGTCTGGAACGCTCTTCCCTCCGATGTTTTACGAAGCCACTGAAGCTATGCACTTTCAAATCCAGACTGAAAACTCATTTATTTAGAACTGCTGTTTGTGTTTAGTTTGTTGACCTTCCCCCGCGCCTCCAATTGGCTATGTAGGGCCTCTGTCCACCCAACTAGGGCAGTATCCATGCGTCTGCTACAGTTACTTGATTGGCAAGTCACGTGTGGACAAACATGTCTGGCCTTGTGGAAGATTTTGCCAAGATACTCTCTAAAGGGGTTCCCGTAGTGGAGGCCCCTTTCGCAAGCTGTTGCATGCACAAGCAATTACAAGCTTGTGCCTTTAACATTCCCTTTTAGGTCGACTTAGTAAGCACTGAATATAAATATTTTTTTACGTGTGCTAAATCTATGTTGTATTAACTGGAGGTCCATGCAAGATTCACCCTCTCAGTTCGTCTATGGATGGGTAACCTTTAGTACTCACAACCCCGATGAGCAAGATTGGCTACGTACTGTGCAAAAGAAGTTCAAACGTACACATTAGAATGGCAATGAATTGGGACCCATCTGTCATTGAACTCTGCATTTGTGATGATGTTGTGTGCAGGCACTGGCTGTCAGAAGGTCGATGTCATATTATAACATGAAGGACAACATTAAACGCATTAATGTGAGAGTGCTCTGACAGGTTTACATTAGTTAATGCGTGCCGGGCTGCACACGAGACACATTCACATTTCAGTTAAGCTCGCTCACCTCGAGGAGACTGGCATTGCCTCTGTCGCCCGGCGCACACACATTTCGTCTCTGAATTATGCAACGGCCGCAGATTTATCGATACCCTTGTCAATATATCAGACGGCCCGTGGGTGTGCCTACACTTTTGCTCGTGCAACAAAAAGAACACGCGAAGAACGCACTATGAATACATTTCAGGACATTCTGTCGAGCGAGTGTCTGGCAAGTAAGCCGCGTCTTCATTTGCCCGCTGCGGTTTTAGTGCTCGCCAAAGAGGTGGCATGTGACAAGGACTTGGTGGCTTTTAAACTCACCGTCTCACCACCGTCCAGTTACTTGATATCTGATGTTAATCTTGAAAGAGCTTCACACACCATTTGTAGGTGTGTGAATCCTGTGATCGCCTACAATGATACAATCGCCATCATTGAGGGTGGCTTGCGGTGGTTATTTTACTCCCCTTAATTTGTTCCATTTTAAGAAGAAGAAAAAAATCTGTGCCTCTTTGACGTGTGTTTAGGTAATACCGGGTTTTCTATGTACGATGTGCTTTTCCGATGCGTTTTCGTGTTGTACAACACGTGGTATAAAACACATCAGAGAGATGTACAGCACGATCACGGGAAACAACGCATCTAAAGAACATTACATTATTTAGACACTATATTAATTATATTTAATTAGAATTATGATTGCCAGCAATTATACATGGAAAATAATGTCTGATCTGGCAGTAATGTCATCAAAATTGCCCCTCCTTGCAATTGCAGGGGCAATGAGTTAACATCCTGGTCATCCCTCCAGGGATTCTGACCCACCCTACTGGACAACTGTGAAAAAAGAGCTGCATAGCTCATCGGATTTATCCAGGATAATTCAAGACTCTAATTCTGGATTGGTAGAAACGAGGACCACGTGATGGCAGGCACAGTGGTTGCTATGGATTTCCTTGTTCTCATAATGGGAATAGTGTAATTTCCACGACTAAGTCAAGACTTCCATCAGAGACGGGCATAGCCCAGCGTTATTTCGAGCGCGGAGACCCTTTAACTTTAATTCTTTGACGTTGATTAATTAAAATATATTGCTAAATCCATATTCACTATAGTCACAACGTATGGAGCCTCCGTTCAATGCAGGACGCTGAACTGCAGCAACCAATGTTGGTTCGCATTGGACAGCGACCTCCACTCTTTCACGCACCCTGATACATTCTGTTCAGGCCTCGGGGAATCCGCAGCAATGTTCATTCAGCGGAATGATTCTCCGCTGCACAGCGGGACAGCGTTTACTTAGACTTGCAGAACACAGATGCATTAATGTTGAATGGTTGCACAGTCCTGTTCTGCAAATTCACGGCATGCAACGGTTATTGTCAAACTTCAGCAAAATAATAATAATAATAATGAAGCTTCACAGTTTCCCCCCACAGGGAAATACTTACTACCGTTGGATTAAGTACTGGAATCTCGACAGGCCCATTAACTACGGAGTGCCTCACTGCCACGAGTGCGGACTCAACTGAATGCGAATGACGTTCGCTCGTGCTGAAAATAAAATCGCTGGCACATGCGTGGGATACTGCCATGGTTTCATGGTTGGGCATTAGAAACTTACAATCCAAAGGATGCTCGTTTGATCTCCTGCAGTGAGGCAGTTGAAGCAATGGTGGAAGTTTCTTGAATCCCCCTTGCCTCTGTCCACCCATTTTGCGGCAATGGGTGCAACACAGTTAGTCAATCAACAGGTCGTGTGTAGTGCGGTAAAATGTGGGTACTCACTCATTTTCGAAGACATCAAGCCAACAAGGTGTTCTAGATTTCAAACTAATTTCTGTAGAACTGCCGTTTGTGTTTAGTTTGTTGTCCTTCCCCCATGCCTCCGTTGAGCACGGTTGGCTACGTACGGTGCGAAATAAGTTCAATATGCATACATACATAATACAGGTTTTTTTTAAATTAGGTCAGATGTATGTATACATACATCTGGAGAGCTCCCACTCATGGAGGTGCTTTTGCCTGCGGTTGTATGGGGAAGTGAATTAGAGGGCTGCACTTTGACCTCCACCTAGGACTTAGTGCAAATGTCAAAGATGGGCCAACACAAAACAAAAAGTGTCCCAACAGGGCACAGGGACCTTCCGTTTCAATCTCATTCAAGTCTTAAAAGCAGGTGTATTCGCTTCCCACACTCAGGTCTTTAGATAAGAATGTTCGTCTATTGTCTCTTGTGGCACCACGTATGGGCGATGAGCTCCAGCCCCGTGCCTCGTTTTGATGGGGGAGACAATCGCCGTGCCATTGAGCTTGCCATAAACCGTGCGTTTGACGTAAAAAACACAAACAAAACACAGACTGAATGTGCGTCAACCCTCGCTCTGCCTGACGTTGCGCCCTCCCGGTTGTCCTCTGGGTGTGCAGCTTGCGAGCGGGGCTTCTACAAGGAGTTTGCCGGAGACAATTCCTGCTCCAAGTGTCCTCCGCACAGCTCCGCCCGTGCCCGGGGAGCCGCGTCGTGCAGCTGCGAGGACGGATACTTCCGGCCAAAAACCGACCCCCAGTCTGTGGCCTGCGCAAGTACGTTCACCCCGCACCTCCCATTTGGCACAGTTTGGCCATGTACGGCGCGCGGAAGAAGTGCGTATACACCACGTGCGTACACACCACGTGCGTACACACCAGGTGCGTACACACCAGGTGCGTACACACCAGCTGTCGCAGTCAACATCCAACCTGCAAAGTTCTGCTTCACCCCGCGTGCGCTGCCCGGCGCCGGTCGACAACACTTGTCGACGAGGCGTTTTGTTGTTCGTTTGTTTGAGTCGACGGTGAGTAAAGTTGTGGATGGAAATCGCCAAGCGCGACGATGACGGCGCAAAATCGGCGAGTCTCGTTCAACGTGCGGTGGCGGTTTGAGATAATCGAGTTACGCTCCCGCGGCCTGTAGTGCACCGAGGGAGATGAAACATCGTTATTCGGTGATGCATTTATAATTTGCGTATACGGTATATCATGTCATCTCGTTTTGCAGCTCAGACGGTAATGTTATTATCGCTGGCAAATCGCTTTGAAGGACAAACGCGTTTTGAACAGCGTTACGAAATCCACTCACTAAAACCGAACGTTTGCATCCAGCGTTTAGCGGTTAGCACACCTATGATGTTGCAGCTTCGATGAGGGATTTGGTGGATCATGCATAGATTGTGGTCGTTGTGTGTAAATACAAGGAGGCCATAGAAACAGTAGAGCAAGTAGTTTGTTGGTCGATCTGTACAGAGGTTGAGTGTTCTCCCCCCTTGTTTAAATTGGGTTTTCTCCGAGAAAGTCTCGTGAACAAAAAAACGCAAACCATAAATCAACGAATTTGGTCAAATGTCCTGAATCAGGACTCAACGGAAATGCGTCCGGACATTCACTGATGTATTTCTTAAAGTGTTGATGCATTTTACATCCTTAGAGCTTCATTGAACATTCCAGATGCGTATCATTGTGCTGCCCTTAGTAGGTCCCCATTGCATGCCAAACACACGTATTCAAGTTATTGCCGAGCAAGAGTCTCGACACTCAATGAGGTTTTCCCAGACAAAATAAAGGATGTGTTCGTGTTAATCGTATGCAGTTTACAAATGCATGCTCTTAGAACGGCTATTGTGTATTTAACAAACAAAAAAAACTTTATTTTCAAGTCATTTGCAATTAGCATGAGACGGGCGAAGCATCAGCTTTAGTAACGAAAAGCAATTCTACTTCGATGTGTTTATGTTGCAGTGTTTCTTTTAATGAAGCAATGAAAACCCCGCAGCTGCCATCGTTCAAATGAACAGGAATTTGTCGAGGCTGCGTTGATAAGCGCTGATCTGGTTTAGGATGCCTAATTTCACCACTATTATACCACGGGTACGAGCACATTTAACTTGTGGCGATGACTTTCAAACAGATGGAGCTCTGACATCTCATTACTTCAAGCAGAATTGTACTTGCGTGCGAATTTGAACAGCAGCCATTCAGAGCCAGTGTGGATGCATTAGGGGACAAGGGTAAACTTTTAATGACTTGGCAGACAATTACGGACTTGGATTGCAAGGCATGATATAACACCTTTCAATTTCTTTTACATATAAATTCTACCTAAGTACAAAATTTAGCTGATTAATCGTTACGCATTCGAGATTGCATCAGGGCCACACATTTAACCCCATTTCATCTGAATGCTCTGTGAATAATAATATAATTAAGACCCAGCATGACTCGTATGACTGGGCATTGTATGATGCTTAAAATAGCATTCGAAAATGCAATTTAAATTCGGGCATATTGCTTTCTGTGCCGCAACACATTTCATATTTCTTCAAACAACGATTTCAAAATGTGTATTGGATATGATCCTGTGGTATACTGGGCCCCACCATTTCCACCACTGGTTCAAGTGCTGAACATTTTCCCATAACACGTTTGGACATAGGCACTCGCTGATCCGGCGATTAAAACTGCCCGTGCACATGCAATTGGTCCTCAAATACGAATGTTGATCACACGGCTTTGGCTCTTCGTACCTAAGTATTTCATCTTATTCGACTGCGGAAACCAAGGAGGTTCACTTAGCTAAGTGTTGACCAGGCTAACGCTAAAATGGTCTGCGCATCCCCCAAAAATGCATTTCTTTTATACTCTTAAGCAACCTGAAGTGTACATATTGTTTCTTCGAATGGGCTAAATGCACATCTCTCTGGCACAAACGCATTGCAATCTGTAGAAAGTATTACAAAAAGTACACGCATGTTTGTTTATGATTAAATAATTGCTTTCCCATCAGAGGGTTGTGTATGAAGGGTGTACACATGTGATTGGCTGACCTGTGAGAAAAAAATAGTAATGTGCCATTTGTGCTTGCCAACACGAGCATGTAACTTGAACCACGCCGTAGAGACAGATTCCGGGGAGTTGTGGGAGTGGGTGGATGTGTCTCTGCTTTCAATCGCCAATGAATATTCGCCCTTGATGACATTCAACACGAGCTTGCACTTAGGAGGATCAGCAAATAATGGCGAAAGGTTTGGCGGTTCCCACAGAGGTGGAACTCTTAAATGTGCAAGGCAATGAAAGTGTTGCCGTGAGGAGTCGAGCAAGTAGAGTTCCTGATGTTCTGTGCAATGTCTGAGTATTATTGGTTCTTTCGGTAAAGCCACGTAGAAGGTAAATAATAAAATAATATAAAGATAAAACAATATTTAGGGAAATAATAAAATAATATTAATATAACAAATATTAATATTACTTTATTTCCCTTCTACGAGACTTTACCGAAAGAACCAAGAATATGAATCCCTGCAGTCACGAAAGCTTTAAATAAAAATTCAATGTCTGAGCGTTTACCCGTCAGAATGCATGGAGCTTCCCCATGCATTCTGCTTTCCTGCCGTACACAAAATACAAGGCATTCCCATACAGATGTCATCCAATATTCAACAACTCGAACAAGACAGCAGATTGAGCAAGCTCAACAAAAGCATGCACTGACAAAGCTACAGATCCCCCATATAGCCTTAACAGACTGTTGGGGCAAGTGCTGTTAGCGAGCACATATGACGGCTGGAACGGTAAACGAGGGGGAGGTTGGCTAGCACCACGCCCGACCGCCTTTGTCTCCCCAGTGGCGGTGTTTACACACCACACCAGGTACTCATTTGAGGCTGAGTCGACCTTGGAGGAGGCCCAGGACCCGTTCAGATAATCGTCACCGGTGTTGACCGCGAGCGGTAATCGAACTCGGGTACGCCGGGTTCGTAGCGCAGCGCGCTGACCACTGCACCACCGCTCCCCACTATAACAAGACAGCAGATTGAGCGAGCTTGATTAAACTGTGCACTCACGCAGACACACACACGTGGTCAATGAGCGAGCCATGGCTAACTTCAGCAGCAAGTGAAATCTGAACCGGTCATGGACACATCTCTGCCTCACTGACCTGCTCTGGCCAGTGAGGTGAGGTATGGATCAACAATTGCGATGACTGCCACAGTGTACGGAGGGGTCCCCCGTACAGGAATGGATTGACAAAACGGAAACCAAATAATTGTAAGAAGCCTTTGCAGACTCTTTTAAATGTTTTGGCTGGAATCGGTTAAATGTATACACAGGGCATGCACAATGTTGCACGATACAATGTTATATAATACAATGTTACGTTCTGTTATATAATGCCCTGTTGTCTGCTGCTCTAGTCTAGGTGTAATCATTGCACGCTGTACTCTGCGTCGTGCGGCACAATGGAAGTTCCACGCTTGCCGCAGCTGTTTCGGGATCATTAAAATGCCTCTCGTTGCCAGCTGCGGATGGTAAAATTAGAACGACCCGGCCGCATTCTGCGAACCGAATGAGCACGCGCACCGACTGCGCGAGCGCTCTCCCCGTGGCTCCCGCATGGGCAGCGGAATATGATACGCCGGATTTGCAGACCGCATGAACACGCGTGCACACACACCGGCAATGACAAAGGTGCCCAGTGTAGCCTTCAACATACTATGAGACATCTCCTTTACCAGTGGCAAAATATAGTAATAGGTTTTTACCTCTTTCAACTGGTACAAAAACTGACACCTTTATACAAGGCATCATGTTTGCAATAACCACAACACAAGCAGTCAAAATGCAAACAAAAGAAACAACTCTGATAATGATATGCACTGTCCTTGAAGTTGATTGATCCACACCCGAGACAGCTTTTCTTAGAGCCTAGTCTCCATTGGTGTTGGACCAGATGACCCCAATAGGCGTACAACTCAAAAACCGTGTTTTTGTACCAGTTGAAAGGGTAAAAACCTATTACTATACTTCAACAGACTGTTGGGGCAAGTGCTGTTAGCGAGCACCGCCGAGAGGGCGGCACGGCACACGAGGGGATGGGTGGCCAGCACCGCTCCCGGCCGCCTTTGTCTCCCCAGTGCTGATGATCACACACCGCACCAGGTACTCATTTGAGGCCGAGTCGACCTAGGGGGAGGCCCACGACCAGATCAAACATTCGCCACTGTTATTGGTCGTGAGCGGGAGTCGAAGTCCGGTTTTTTTTTTCTGCGCAGCTTCCACAGCGTGGCGTGCTAACCCCTGCACCACCGCTCCACACAGCCACTCACACAGGCAAACGTACACGCGCCTGTATGCACAGCTCACGCGTGCAACATTGTGATTTACGCACTGCTATGAAGCTGCGTTGCTTCGATTGTCCGCAATTTAGCAGCACGGGCAATCAATTTGTCATGACGCTGCCTTGCATTAAACACACGGTGCAGAATTGCGCCGTGATGCAACGCAAATATATTTTGCTGTTGTTGTTTCAGGAATCCCTTCGGTTGGACTCCGCCTATGCAATAAACACGTGGCATGCGTGTAACGGTGGTTGCACAAGGGAGGCAGAGGTGGCCAGAGTTATTGTGCTGGACACGAAATGATAAAATAATAACAATAACACTAACAATCCGTTATCATTTACCGAGGAGAGCAATGCGTTTGGTTAGATCATGGGATCTTTTTTTCCCCAGTATCAAAGGATGAAACATAAGACTCGGTTTTACCAGTTCATGGCAACCAAGCAGGTGTTAAGATGATGTTCAAACAACAAATATAAACAGTTTGCAAGGGATCAAGCCTGCATTCACCACACGTACTTGTGGTGTACATGCAAACAGACCTACTCTGATAATTCTGTATATGCATTGTCTTTGAAACTGTTTGGTTCTACACAGTGTCTCTGGTGCAGACCAATCAGTTCCAAAGACAATGCCAAATATTATCAGAGCATGTTTGTTTGCATGTTCACCACAAGTCCGTGTGCTTAATGCAGGCTTGATTCCTTGCAAAACGTATCTATTTGCTGTTTGAACACCTGTTTGATTGCCAGAAAGGGCAAAACCTAGTCTTACAGGGTGTTTCAAAAACAAGGACCGAATTTCAAAGATATAGCGATTTCAAATCGGGTCCTATCTTTTTCATACACCCTGTATTTTTCATGGGCTTGGTTAACTTCGATACTGAGTATTTTATTTGGCACGTGGGAGGAAATGAGGGTACCTGGATTAAACCTCACCACGCATATGAGAGGGGGGAAACGCTCCCACGATCCACACAGATGAATTCAAGAATTCCATTGATATATGGGATGTTGGCTATCAACAACAAGGCAACTCCTATGACTAATTGGGAATGGGACGCAAGCGTAGGATTGATCACCCTGTCGCTGGCCGCCTTTGGGGAGGGTGTATAGTGTGAAAGGCCGAAACACCCTAGAAACCAAAGGTACACTACTGACGATGCGCTCCCCAAATTTCACCAGGCTCACTCTTCATGAACTCTTGGAAGTGCTTGCACAAAGGATAGTAACATCTCATCCTGTGTTCTTGGAATCTGCTATCTTCAGATGACCCTGCATCCCAAGCCTGCAACACCTGGCATTCACAGGCAGTCCTCCCTTGCAAACACAAACCGGGTTCCATTAAGCTTCGCTGTTCAGAGACCTGGTGTGATTTGGGCACTTTCGTGGCTGTGCGATGAAAGGCTGCAGATACACGAGGTGGGGTTGAGAGTAGGGGAGTTCTGTGTGTGTATGTGTGCATACACGTCTATGTCTGTGTGTGCATGCATGTGGGGAGTGGTGGTGTAGCGGTTAGCGCGTCAACACCGGTGACGAATATTTGAACCGGTCCTGAGCCTCCCCTAGGTCGATTCAGCCTCAAATAAGTACCTGGTATGGAGTGTGAGCATCACCACTGGGGAGACAAAGGCGGCCGGGCGTGGTGTTGGCCACCCACCCCTTCGTGTACTTTACCGGCCTTCATAGTTCCTTGCTATACAGCACTTGCCCCAACAGCCTGTTAAGGCTATACGGGAGATATGTGTCTGTGTTTGCATGCATCTGTGTATCTTTGTCTCTGTGTCTGCGTGTCTGTATGTGTGTGTGCGGGGCTACGGTAGTGTAGCGGTTAGTGCGCCACGCTACGAACCCGAGTTCGATTCCCACTCACGGCCAACACCTATGACAATTATCTGAACTGATATTCGGTCTCCCCTAGGTTGACTCAGCCGTAAATTATAATCTGGTACGGTGTGTAAACATCAGCTTTGGAGTGACAAAGGCTGCCGGCCATGGTGCTGACAACCCACCCACACCCTTGTGTGATGTGCAGGCCTTAATAGGCTGCTCACTAACAACACTTATCCTAACACCGTTTTCGGCTATAGCGGGTTGTTTTTTTGTCTTCATCACTTGCAATATAAAGCTTTCCGTGTTCTTCTAATGAAGAAAAAAAAACTTCCTTTATTTTTTTTAACAATGATACACATCAATCCTCGCTCCGGTTTATTTCCAAGGGATAAGTGGCGAGCTCAAGATGTGAGAAAAAGGTTTTAGATAAGACGTAGGTTGGTATCCCGAGCACAAACACAGGACAGGTTTGAATCCGAATCAATCAAACTGGAAGCGGGGCTTTCTTATCACTGCGACTTCAAAAAGCACGCGGCTTAATAATCCACTTGTTATCATTGAAACAAATCGGGACATTAATTACTTAGCCTCTGCTTCCAAATGCCCCTTTTGTTATTGCATTGGACCTGTTGATATTGCCTATTGATCGGAACTCGAAGCAGTGGAGAGTGTTTTTGAAGTTTGTTCACCAATCTATCTGCTGCTGTTGTTGTTGCTGCTGTTGTTAAAGAGTTAAGCGTAATTGGTTGATTATCGAGTGCTCTCAAGACCAGATCCCTTGAAACAATGCCCCCTAAAGTCTTCTCAATGAGCTTGAACGTTCCCTCTCAAAGCACCGTATGTCTCTCGCAATAGCTGCAATTGCGCGCGACGCAAGTAGCAGTCGCATGCGTTCCACGTACAAGCTATTTCACGATCTTGAGTTGTAGCTTTCGTGACTGCAGGAATCCATACACTTTAGTTATTTCGGTAAAGTCACGTAGGTAGAAATTGAACAAAATAAATCACGCCGTTTCGGACGCAACGCAAGTGCCCGTCTTCAGGTGGAAATCGCGATAGCCGCGATGTCCGCTGCGATCAGCACTGATGTCTGCTGCCTTGGTGTGAAAGGCGGTGGTGTGAAAAGCGAATTCCATGCACACGCGCACTTTGTTCGGCATAGCGGCCAACGTTTTGCTCCGCGTGCCAGAAGCTTCCTCGGGAACGTCAGTCCCAAAAAACGCACCGCTGAGCTGTGCAGCACAACCCACGGCTGAGATCACGTGAACCCATAAGTGTGTCGTTAACTCGCCACCACCCGACACGGCCAATTGGTATGTTTTGTCGCGTGAACGAAACGGCCCAAATTCGTTAACTTCTCCAGCACACCGGTGTGTTGGAGAGTGAAGCCACAACATTCACAATGTAAGTATGAAGTTTCGCTGGTGGTTACAACCAGCTTCGTTGGGTGATTTTTCATAATTGACTCTCCAACATCCCAGTGGCGCGTTTTGTTCACGTGACATGTCTTAATAATTGGCTGTGTCGGGTGGTGGTGGGTTACGCGATCTAACCTAACTAACTTTATTATGAATAATATTGGTCGCAAAAGCCTACTCGTTAAACTAAATATTCAGGACAAAATGCTCATTATGCTACTCTCATTGCCTTTACACTGGTTTTGCGTTTGGAGTCAAACGCAGCAAGCTCAGGCATGCAGACATTGATCATTGCACTCCTGAGCCAAGCCAGTTATTATCATCATTACGTAACATTAACCCGGCTGCTTCCTTAACTGCTGCGCCCAAAAGTTCAACGCAACAGCGGAACCTCGCTTTGGAGCCCCTGGCAAGCCAATGACCTCTGCCAGCGGCGCCGTTGATAAAGCCCCAAAGTCAGATTGCCTCGGTGCACACGCAACCCACACAACCAACGGGACGTTCGACAGCCTTAAGGCCCGCGGGGACATTTCCACATTCTCATGGTGGGGGCCAGTCCATATTAAAGCTTACCACTGTTGACTTCCCACCAAGTGCACACTGCGGCTCTCATTCTCTATGTGATCCAACAACCCTGTGTGTTCAGTCGCGTGTGTTTTATATTTCCTAGGTCTGATTTTGAATCCAACACAGCGGTATGCAAATCATTGTACAGGGGATATTGATGAATGGGGATGCAGGAAACCTTTACTCCCTTACCCTGCTCATTATAATGAGGTATTTGGCTCCTACGCTTGTGTATGTTGCATGGATGGGTGATCTTGAGTTCTCGTAGGCATTCAGCGAGTTTTAAAGTTCACCAGCCTGCGACCCCGTTAAGCCCCCCTTCGTTGGTCTGCCTGATAATAAATCTGCACCGAGGACATGATTAAACAAACACGCCTTCCTTAGCAAGAGGCATTCCACCTGCTCCCTTCCCTATACAAAAGCCCCCGCTGCAAGAATAAGCACACGGAGACCGTTGCTAATAAATCATCAGCATCATCAGCCATGCTAAAGGCCCACCCCTCGCAAGCTGCCGCATCCCCCACTGATCGTGTAATAATCCACCCAGCAGCACCTGTGCACGAGCCGAATCCATTGCTCCATCTCTCCGGTGGACGTACTCTCTCAAGACGGCGTTCCAAAGGGCACCGCGCGGCAGCTAGATTTGAACAACCTCGCCGACCCTGGCCGCTAATCGCCGCTCGAGATCGCTGACCATCGCCGCGCGTGCGTCCTTTCCGCGGCCCGCCCCGCCAGGGCCAGCCGTCCGCCCCGGGGAACGTCATCTCGAACGTGAACGAGACGTCGGTGACGCTGGAGTGGAGCCCGCCGGGCGAGACGGGCGGCCGCCGCGACGTCAGCTACTCCATCGTGTGCCGCCGGTGCCCCTCGGAGTCGGCGGGCGTCTGCGCGCCGTGCGGCACCGCCGTGAGGTTCCTGCCGCGGCAGGCGCGGCTGCTGAACACGTCGGTGGTGGTGCGCGACCTGCTGGCGCACACCAACTACACCTTCGAGGTGCACGGCAACAACGGAGTGTCGGAGCTGAGCGGAGTCCCATCGCGGTTCGCCGCCGTCAACGTCACCACCAACCAGGCCGGTGAGACCACGCGCCCCGCTCTCTCTCCGCGCTCAGAATCGACGTGCGTTTAGGGTGTTTGGCTGCTGTCAATTTCCACGTGATGTCAAGCGACTTCGTTGAGTTGTCATTTGTGATGGCCAGGACGCTTCTGAAAAAGAGCTGCATAGCTCAGTGGGCCATATCTGGTAAGAAAAAAAATGTAAAGTGTTTTTTTTATTTTTTCACCATTCGTGATTTGTAATCCAGTGGCTGTTGATGTTGCTGCTGCCGGTTCTTAACTCTGATTAGGCTCGGCTTTCTGACCAATGGACAATGACAGCAGCAGCAGCAGCCCGCAGTGCTGTATAATAGGGGCAGAAAGTGACCTTCTCAATTTCACTTTTCGAAAACAATTTTCCAGAAACTTGGGAGTGAAGTGAAATGGAAAGACATCGTGCCAGATAATCCAAAACCAGACCAGAGAGTTCAATTGCCACGTGGCTCAGCGGTAAAGCGAGCAGCTGGCAATCGAAAGGTTATGATGTCAAATACTAGCTGGTGGTTGACTAAGCCCATCATCCCTCTGCGGTCCATAAATCAAGAACCTCTTTGTGGGGAAGTCAACAGTGGTTGTCCTGTGAAGAGACTCACGCCACCATATGAATGTGCAATGTACATCACTCTCTCAATGTCTCAGGGCTGTTAAATTTGAGATGAGCAACACCTCTCAATGTTCATTTTCGCACGAAGTCACCTCCACCGTTTTGCTTTTGTTTAACACTAATATTGTCATCGTGCTGTGAATGGGGCCTAAGCTCCATTCATCAATTAATTCATCGATGGCAACCGCCTCTTTGAGTTAATGCATAAATGATAATGCTGTACTTTTTAAAAAGTAAATATCATGTTGTATCCCCTTGATTTTTTTTTTTATAAATCATACGAATGCCGTACAGTATGAGTACCTTAGCAGGGCAGCTTGCTCTGGTAGGTTTCAACGGCACTGTCTTCGGAAGAAGTTGACGGATTCACGTGCTTGTGCCGTGGTAATAAAGAAGTGTGGAGGAAAGAGCATGGCAATAAACCCATGCACGAGAAAGTGCCAGCGATATATAATAGATGAATCAATATCGGGAGAGAATGAAAAATGCAATATTGGCGTAGGCCCCGCGCATAGACAAGTGTGCAGGCACGTCCTGCTTTCTCTCTGCATACAATGGGCAATCGTAAAGCTTTTAAAACAAGATATTAAAAGCCTCAAAGGTGTGTGTTTTTGTCTCCCCACATACCAAAATGAGGAGCAGGTGCTATGTATCCTCACTGGCAGTCTCAATCTAGTAGTGCAAATCACACATTCCTATGGCAAGTACTAGTGTGACCATGTAACAGCCACAGCGATGGTACTAATTTCAAGGATCCCAGAGGAACGATCGGATTGACAGAGCTGACCCTCAAACCTGGAGTCTGAGCTCGCTGCAATATCACCTGGCAAGATTATATCAGGATTGACAGCACTAATATGGTGTTGTGTGTGTGTGCGCTGATGAAACCACCGCTCTCTCTCTCTGCGTGGGCTGGCAATGTGCACGATATTTGCAATCCCGAGGCACCAGGTCCATTTACCAGTAGGCTGCAAAAACCTCAGACAAATGGCTTTTTATCCTCTGCTGCCCAAATATGAAACGTGGTTCAATGGAGTGTTGTTTCCCGCCACGTAAATGTACAATTTCTCCAACGACTCACCGGTGTATAATGTCTTGATTTAGCGTGGGAATACGTTGACTCCTCGACTTGCCAAAGTTGACTATTCCCCCCCCCCCCCCCCGTGTCAATTTTGTTTTTACTTCTGCAGCCTCCAATGTAGCTCGCTGGTGGTTTGGCTTGAGCCAGCAGTGGAAATTCCACATTTCTATATTACGGGAGAGGGGACAGCCAGTCTCTCCGCACAACAATCGTCGTTGCTTTGCTCAAGCCAGGGCAAAAAAAAATGCGTGCACACTCTTCAGTCTTTTAGCACAAGGAGGGGGGCAGGGGCGGGGGGAATTGGCTGATCACTCTAGAATCGGGCGAGTTCCACAAACTCGTGAGCAATACGTGCAGAATCTGCATATCGAGTCTTTATTTGTCTCTACGCTGTCACGTCCAAAGCACTCGGAAGTGACACTCTTGATCAAGAACACACACAATGCTAATATCTGAGAGAGGGGTTAAGAGGTTCAATGTACCACGTGGTATTCTAAATATATTATGTCAGTCTTATGACATTCATCAACAGCTTGTTGCGATGTTTGCCGGATAATATCTTAAATACGACTCATTGTACGTCTTTGTTCTGATACTCGGCCCAAAGGTATTCTTCACGAGCACGCATAGTCGTGGACCTTTCAGCATCTGTTCTATCACCTGCTTTGATACGACCCTACGAGTGCTAAATTCCGCTTTGAAGAGAAGAAAAAGAGTGCAAGTCTGAGCTGTAGTTGGATGAATTGTTTACCATTGAATTTCATTTTATATATACATCTATTATTTCCATTCTACGTGACTTTACCGAAAGAACCAAGAAGATGAATCCCTGCAGTCACGAAAGCTTTAAATCGAAATTTAGTCCAGTTTTCTTCTGGCTTTATTTTGATTGTAGAGCAGTGCGCGCGAGTGTGGAATGACACACGCGCATGATGTTGCCAGCCGAGACAAAATCTCCTCCCCCGCCCGCTTTTCCACTCGAGGCAGCGAGCGTGTGGCCGCTAATAGGAGATGCGCATTGTTTAAAAAATACAACACGTGCCTTTGTGTACCCAAGAGTGGAAGATTTCAAGGTGAGTATTTTGTTTTATTCTGCAAACCAACACAGCACAATGCAGGCAACCCCCAATCATACACCTAGCCCCAAAACCAGACAGACTCCAATGCAGGCAACTCTCCTCCGTATACCAAGCCTCAAGACCAGACAGACGCTTTGCACTTAAGTGGGGTGTGTAGTGAACCAGACCGTGCTGTCACAGGCTGTACGGCGCTGATACTACAGCTGAGCACAGTACTGCGCGCTCGCTCCAACGCAATGCTTGAACGTGTACAAATGACAAGGCATGGTATTCAAAAAAATGTTCTACATTTTAAGAGTTATATATTTATGTTTCTAGATATATTACCGTCCAAAATGTGCGTTGCGTTGTTAATCCACTGCTGGAGCAAGGTCTTCCAACACCGTGGGAGTCAAATGAGAAAAATGTGTGACCATAATTCACCATGCTGGTCAGTTAAAAAGAGGGGTAGGGAGGCGTGCTACTGGCTGAGGTATCACTCGCCACGGATGTTAGCCGTGACGGGGAATCAAAGACATGCTGCCGAGTCCATAGCGCAGTGCGTTAACCGCTGCGCCACCACTCCGCCCACCCCTGTCGATAAATATGACCCATAATGGTATAGTGCAGCACGAAATGCTGTAAGAAAAAAAACACGCCAGTGAATTAGCTCATTGACGTTATACTCCAGCGAAAAGTAACAGCATAGCATGTGCTAATTACAGTTTTGATAATGCTCATAGCAGTGACTTCTTGCATATTATTGCAGCAACAGTGATTTCAAGTAATGATCAGACATTCCAAAACATAAGGGTATTGCATGCAAGGGAGATAATATTATTTCGGTCGTGGGAATAAAACGCCGGGTATTGATGCGGGTTTTCACAAGTCGCCGTTCAGTTTAAGCGCTACAGCTCGTCGTTTGCCAACCTCCTCCTAACCACTCTTCCCGCTATCTGCTTTTCCTATAATCGGCATTAATTGTCCACGCTCAACTGTTGCACGTGACGGAGAGATGCATATTTTGGTGTGCAGAGAAGTGCGTCTTAAATAGCGTTAGTCGTGTCGAGGTTAGGTACTGGGCATTGTCAGATCAATAAGATGCATTAAGTGGTATTGACCCCAGAGGGCAGATGGGTAAGTCAATCCCGAACTGGGATTAGAACTCACAACCTTTCAGTTGTTAGGATAGCATTCCGACCGCAGTGACACTTGCCCATATGATCACGAACATCATAATCATCAATAATAGCCATGGTCAATCCACTGCTGGATGAAAGCCTCCCCAAGCCACCACCAGCTCACGCAATCTTACGATGTAACAATCAGCCCAGCGCCCGCACGAGGACCGATCAAATCTCTCCACCGTCACAATGCACATTGTCAGTAGCTAGTTTGTTAGCAAGCACCTATTCAAGCTGCCAGAGCGTAAGAGGTGATGTGTGGGGATGATAGTGATGATGCACGATACAGTGCGAACTAGAGTACGTATTTCAGGCTGAGTCGACCTATAACAGAGTTGGACCAGCTTAAGAAACCTTTTGTATGTATTTTAACACGTAGGCTTTCGCGACCAATGTTATTCATAATCAACGTTTTTGGGTTTAGATCGCGTTTATTTATAAATGTGTCGTAACCCTCCACCACCCGACACGGCCAATCAGTAAAAAATGTGTCACGTTGACAAAGACAAATAGTTCACTGCTTTAGCCCACCGGTGTGTTGAAGCAACAACATTTACAATTTGAGTACGACGTTTCGCTGGTAATTGCAACCAGCATCATCGGGCAATTCGCCAGAATGGTGAGGCTCTCCTGTGTCTCCCGTTCTTATATAGAGCAGCAGCAGGGTGACGTCATCATTAACTCATCAACTCATCAGGTGCAAAGATTCAAGGGGGGAGTGATTGTAATTATATACTAGATTAGTAATCAGGCTATTGTTACGATGCGAGTTGTAGATTAGTAATCATTTGGAATGTGTTTTATTGTGATTATGCTACATTAGTAATCAGTTAGTGGTTGTTTCCCTTATAGGTAATTGTAATGTATCTTATTTAATAATACGCTTCCAGGCCGCACTAAGCCTGTAGCTGTCTGAGCGATTAAAGTTATTTCTGTTTCTCTCAATTTCAATCGATTCTCTAATTAGTCTTTGCCAGTAGTAACTAGTTTTACACAACACTTCCACGTTGTCAAAATCAATTGAGTGTCCCTGTTGGCATGCATGTTCTGCTACTGCCGACAGTTGTGTTTGTGATAGTTTAATATTTCTCTGGTGTACTTTTAGTCTTACACTAACGTTACGCCCTGTCTGTCCAATATAGCATCTGCCACATACACAATTTATCCGATATACACCTTCTGTTGATAATTTAGGTAATTCGTCTTTAGTGCACGTTACTAGTTGTTGAATTTTGTGTACTGTACCAAATCTTACTGTAATGTTTTGCTTTTGCAAAACACGGGCTAATTTATCAGTTACTTTTTCGATTTAAAGCTTTCGTGACTGCAGGGATTCATCTTCTTGGTTCTTTCGGTAAAGTCACGTAGAAGGGAAGTAATAAAATAATAAAAATAAAACATAATAAAACAATTCTCACGACGTTTCGGCCACAACGCATCAGTTACTCCTGAGATAAATGGTATTTTTATTGTTTTAATAATCTGATCGCTTTCAGCAGTGTTGCTTTGCGATCGTGATTTGGCTTTTAGTGCTCTGTTAATTTGAGCATTATTGTAGCCATTCTGTCTTAGTGCTTCTTTAACATGTTTAATCTATCTCACTAGACTTTCACCATCTGACACTGTTTTAGCCCGATGTATGAGCGTCTTGATAAGAGAGGATTTCTGAGCTGGGTGATGATGCGAATCTGCATTCAGATAGGCATCAGTGTGCGTTGGCTTTCTGTAAACGCTGTGTGTTATTTTACCGTTTGGGCCATGCCCAAGTAAAATATCCAGGAACGGGAGTGTGTTATTCACCTCCATTTCCATGGTGAACTGATCTACAACTCGCATCGTAACAATAGCCTGATTACTAATCTAGTATATAATTACAATCACTCCCCCCTTGAATCTTTGCACCTGATGAGTTGATGAGTTAATGCTGACGTCACCCTGCTGCTGCTCTATATAAGAACGGGAGACACAGGAGAGCCTCACCATTCTGGAGAATTGCCCGATGATGCTGGTTGCAATTACCAGCGAAACGTCGTACTCAAATTGTGAATGTTGTTGCTTCAACACACCGGTGGGCTAAAGCAGTGAACTATTTGTCTTTGTCAACGTGACACATTTTTTTTTACTGATTGGCCGTGTCGGGTGGTGGAGGGTTACGACACATTTATAAATAAACGCGATCTAAACCCAAAAACGTTGATTATGAACTTTTGTATGTATGTTGAACTTCGCACCGTATGTAGCCAACCATGCTAGTCAGAGGTGTATGGGAAGGACAACAAACTAAACACGTGATGGGCATGGCTAGAATTGATTCTAAGTCACCAATATTTTAGAGTAATGTAATCATCACTACATTACTATACACGCAAAGCAATCCATATCCAAACATTATACAATGAATATATAGTTTGTATCAGAGCAAAAAAGGTATCTGGACGTTGAGACACACATTTTTATTTAAAAAGTGCATTCTGATAATGTCACAATTTCATACAACTGTGCAATGCTGTGTGTCAAGATATAGTTGTGTCTGTCGATCTATCCCCGATGGGAAAAAAAAAAACTCATTTAAAAAATTGAAGTAATTATTATTCAAGCGTGGAATCATCCGCCTTCATTGCAACGCACAAGAGAATTAAGCTTTCATTCAATGCTGCCAAACTAGACACGCCGTCTAATCAGGAATATGGTTTGAAATAATATTAATAATAAGGAAAGAATCCCCGCATTATTATTTGTATATGAGATTATATTGGGCCGGCATTATTGGACTCCTCCACCTAAGTCGCACCGCACCAAAGGGTAAATGAGTTGGGTGTCAGCTCTCGAGGACACTAGGGCAGTGGACAATTCACAGACGATGATACATAAAATATTCTTTAGATAGAAAAAAAAGGCTCATAAATTCACAAAGAACCCTACCGTGGGCTTATTGCAAAGACTTCTAATAAACCTTACATTTCGTTTGGTGGGAATTGTAAAAAAAAAATCCCCAAGACTATTTGGCTGGTACATGTTTGTGTATATTTACCACCTGTATATATAAACTACGTGTTTGTGTATACAGGTGGTGCATCGGCCAGTCATCTCAGTCAGTCGACCCGTGGCACCTGGTTCTGTCCCGTGACCTCCTGCGAGCGATCGTTCGATACCTCATGTGGCCTTAAAGTGCACTTAGCCTGGCACAGACGCCGTGGTGACACCACCACTACTTAGTGGCGAATGGTGGTTGTAGTTGTTGATATGCGCACATGGGGAACCGTGGCATAGCGGTTAGCACGCTGCTCTACAAACCCGGCAACCCGCGTTCCATTCCCGCTCACGGCCAACATTAGTGACGATTACCTGAACCGGTCCAGTGCCTCCTCTAGGTCGACTCAGCCTCAAATGAGTACCTGGTGCGGTGTGTCTTAACATCGCCACTCGGGAGACAAAGGTGGCTGGGCATGGAGCTGGCTTAACGCACCCCCTTGTGTGCAGTGCTGCCCTCCATAGGTGCTCACTAGCAGCACTTGACCCAACAGTCTGTTAAGGCTATGAAGGGGATCTTTATATTCGGTATACACACAGTATATTTAATACATATGTATGCAACATCAAGCAATGGCTATATCAAAGTTGACTATTATGTATGAATAATAACTACATACAGTTACATTGGATTCTAAAGGGTAGTGTTATACCTCAATTGTCCATTATTAGTGTTTGATGTGTTTATTTTTAATCAGATATCCTTTGAAAATACCTTTCAACGGACCACTCATCAATCAAACTACCTGTAAAACAACAAGTTAATGAATCGTAATAGGGTTTTGATAACAGCACTGGGAGGAATGGTGCATTTCAATGTTTGGCTAATTGGCCTTATGTGGAAAAAAATAAAACATGTTATTTTTCAAATAAACCTCCTATTTTATGTACAAGTTCACTGCAGCAGCACGTTCTAAACCAACGCATTTTCGTCAACGAAAACATACTAAAGAGTCAATCTACATTTGTGAATGTCAGACTGCAACGATTTGCGCTATTAAATTGAAGGTGACTTTCCATAATCAAGAGAGTGTTGAGCCAGTGATAATAACTCCACATTCCTACGGCAGAAACCATGCTGTCATAATAAAACAAAAAAAGCAACCATTGGCTTGCTACATAGAGGGGTGGTCCATTCATATGACCAAGGAAAGAAACTGGGCCTGAGACAACCTCCAACTGGGATTTAAATCTCTAACCTCTGCATGGTGGCTTTGATCCTCTTGCCTTATGTGCCGAGGGCCACAATTCGCTTCTTGGTGGCACCGTTGTAACACACTGCATTGTGGGAATTTGCTCCATTGTTGGTGATAGAGACATTGGCGTGTTTTTGCCAAAAAAAACGGACAAAAAGCAACATTCACCAACACGTGAATTGGGCCATTGATTTACAGATTTTTCACTCAAAGCCCTTACAACCCGCAGGCAACGGAATTCCCTGACTCTACACCAGACTACGTTTCCACATCAGCCAGTCTCCTAGATTTGAATGCACGCATATGCAACAGTCGTACTTCTGTAGTCTGGCCCCAGCATGGAAACGTAGAATTTTATATTCTGGCTTAGGACTTTCAACAAAGATGAGTGCGGCCCCAATAAAGTTTGAGCCGTAACACAGTCTGAACAATTTGTACCACCTTTTTGACATAATTGGGACAGATAATTACGTAGCCAAGCACAGGTTACTTGGCGCAGCCAATTACGGGATATATTGAACTTGAGGGTACAGAGCCAACCACACGGCACAGCTCAGTATGTGGGACAGCAGCCATCCAATTATACAACCACGAGTTCACATCCCTGCCGAGGAAGGGCTCACCCATCTTTCTCTCTGAAGTTAGTCACGTGAGCACTGCCTGGGTTGACTGCTCCCTGTCATTGTAATATGGAATTTAAACACTGAATTGGGACCATCTACACCAAAATGCATTACCCAATGCTCATTTGAGCATTTTTGTTTTCCCTTTGATTTAGTCGGAAGCACAATGCCGCGCTATTACACATTGTGGATTGCATGCAAAGTAATACTTATGATTTGGCCAATGTAGTAACGAGATGCCAATGATGGTGATGATACCATCAATGATGATTATGAAGCTGATTATTATATTGCCACTGAGTACAATAATAACGATTGTGGAAAATATAACAATATGGTTTCATATCACTATGCAGTGCACATACTAAGCCCTGTCCAAACATGTGAAAGTCAAGGTTGCAACCTAATGTAATAAGGCATGTAATGAAATAAGCACCTTGCCTTGGCCATTTCCCCCAGTAATTGATTCAGCACTTCTTTATCCTTCACATATTTAGATTGCTCCCAGGGGTAGTGACATCACTTAATTAGTTTATAAGTCTTCCTTGCTTGCCATGTTGGTGTTTAGCCAAATGTATACTCACTACTAATGTATGGTGAGCCCATCACAAAGCACACACACACACACGCACGCACAGCTGATTAAAGATGTATGTACTTATAGTGTCAATGCTTGTCCTGGGATTGTTTGCAGCACCATCGCCCATCACAGACGTCCAGAAGGGTCTCATCTCGGAAGATGCAATCATTTTAAACTGGGCCGAACCCAAGCAGCCTAATGGAATCATTCTGGACTACGAGGTCAAATACTATGAGAAGGTATGAAAGTCTTACAATTTTGGAATGTATTGTATATATATAAATGAATACATGTGTGTGTCAAGTGATGGAGCATTGGTTTGCGCAGCTGCTTTATGAACCCGGCAACCCGAGTTTGATTCTCACTCAGAGCCAACACCAGTGGTGATTAACTGGACCAGATATGATTTCCCTAGGCCAACGCAGCCTTTAATTGGTACCTGGTGTGGTACGTAAACATCGCCACTCAGTAGACTAAGGTGGCCCGGCATAGTGCTGGCCACCCGCCCCCTCGTGTGTCGTTCTGGCCTCCATAGTTGCTCGCTAACAGCACTTGCCCCAACAATCTGTTGAGGCTCAACGGTGGAATCACTGTCTTTGCGTTCGAAAGTCGAGCGCAGTAGAGTTAGCACAATGCGCTGTGAACCCGGTGACCCGAGTTCAACTCATGGCCATGGCTTACATGAGTTACGATTACCTGAACCGGTAGTGGGCCTCCCATAGTTCTACTCAATCTTAAATGAGTACCTGGTATGGTCATACTATGCTTTATTGTGCTGTGCCAGCCTTCATAGATGCTCGTTCATCAGTACTTGCCAAAAAAAGTATGTTCATGCTTTCAGAGGGGTGATCATTGTTTTTTGTGTTTCATATGTATAGTTTAAGTTTAAAAGTATCCACATATCAGGTTACACCTTAGCAGTTTAATAATGTCAGCTTGTCATGAGTTTATGACGTAACTGTAATATCATACATTCATTCTGGTTGCCTTTGATCGGACTATAATTAGTTGGTTGTGGTGTATAAACTGTAATAAGTAATAATGTAATAAGCAGTCACATGTTAATTATCGACAGGCATGGGGTTACTGGTCTCTGGCCTGGTTGTGGTAGCGCTATCATTGTTTGAACTAGGGTTTCGAATCAACAAGCATTTCAAACTGGCATATTACAGATAAATATACACAATTCAATAATGGTAATGAATTTTACAAGAATTCAAATGCCTAGGAAGGCCTCACTGAGTTTGAGGCATCTTTTTTCAGAAATTCTCTGCTCTGGGAAGTGTGGCCAATACTTTTTTTTATTGCATTATTTTGCGCGTGTGGTATACAACCAAAGTCCTCAAGGTGCAGCCCTACCAGTGCTTGCTTATGCCATGGTGGCGAGATGTTAACTACCTCACCTGATATACAGCAGGTCATGGGTTCGATCCCGACCTTGACACCTGTATATTTGGAGTTTGCATGCTCTCCCCGTGGTCACAAGGATTTTTCTCCGGGTCCTCCAGTTGTTTCCCCTCCACATTTAGAATAATGCCTTCAGAGTATTTGGCTGGTATACATCTCCACACGATAAGCCACTGGGTTGAGCTATCATTTGCGGCCAGGTTGCTTCTGAAAAAGAGCTACATAGCTCAGCAGTTTCACTTCTGTTTCGCTGGTTCAGCAGTTCCACTGCTGGATTAATTTTTCCGCCCGAGGACGACCGCTTGTGTTGCGATCGAAACGACGTGATGTATTATTTTATTTCGTTTTATTTTTCTACCTACGTGACTTTACCGAAAGAACCAAAGAATATGGATTCCTGCAGTACACGAAAGCTTCAAATCAAGATTAGAGTCCTGATAGACGGTATTGGGCCTGCTCTTCCAAGCCGGCCAGATGTCTCGCAGGGAGTCCCAGAGCTTTGGCCCCTGGCATATGCGACTTGCCAGTCGACAAACTGTGCTGCGCACGTTTTTTGTTTTGCTCGTGGATGGACAAAGTCAGCGTGAATTATGAAACCCACCCCATTGTTTCAACTTCCGCGCCAGGAGATGGAATCGAACCGGCGACCTCTAAATTTCACGTCGAGTGCGCTCACGATTAAATCAAGGCAGCATCCCTATTCATGTATATCTTTATTTACTACTGAGGACAAGATTGTTAAACACTGTGCAGTGGCCCCTTCAGCTTACACATCTTTCATGTCACCGCTGTGCACTGTCTAAACAACGCTGGGAAGAATCCGTAATAACAGACCCATTGTGAGATCATGGCTTGCGACGTTTAGAAAGCAAAGCAGTGCGTGTAATGCACTGCATTCCCTGCATTCCCCAAGCCCGGCATTCTCCCCTCGTGTGTATACATACATATGAGCACATCGATAGAGGCCACTCGTTCAAATAACGGTGGCTCGTAAAGCGCCTTGCCGAGTTTTTTCCAGGACAAATGTCAAGTGCATTTGGAGGGGAGTGGTGGAACGATCGGCACGCCCCCCCCCCCCTCTCAAAAAAACACCCCTCTGCATCGGTGAGGACAAGGCACCTGGTGCACGCCATGACTCCCACCCCCACACCCTGTGTCCCCCCCCCCCCTGCTTCCTATGTCACCTTCTGCCGGACCCGCAAGGACCAGAAGGAGAGTAAGTACACGACGCTGCGCTCCAACGTCACGAGCACCACCATCACGGGGCTCAAGCCGGCCGTGGTGTACGCGCTGCAGATCCGCGCACGTACCGCCGCCGGCTACGGAGACTACAGCCCCGCCGTCGAGTTCAAGACGTCCCCCGACTGTGAGCGGCGCAAGCGCCCCCGTGGCACGAGCGTACGCACGAGCGTACGCACGCGCGCGGGCACAGATCTCGCCGCCCTCCCCGCGCGCGGCCTACATATCTCTCATCCCATCGCTGTGCACTTGCCTAGACAACGCCGGCAGAATGGGCGGTAACCGACCCGTTGTGTCGATATTAATGGATTCGCGGAAGTTCAGAAAGCAAAGCAGCTTGGGTCTCCACGGTACGCGTGTGTGTAAACGCACCACGTTCTCCAGGCGTGCGTTCTCCGCGCACGCTTCTCGGTGAAAGTGCCGGCAGTGGGCACCTATGGAGGCGGAACTGTGCACGGGTCAGTTGCGTGGAGTCGGCTTGCGAGAGGCCTAGCATCTGGGATCGTCGAGTCGACCCGTGGGGGTGGCGGTAGGCCGAGGACGAGTTCAGATAATTGCCACTGATGTTAGCCGTGAGCGGGAATTTACTCAGGGGGTCGACGGGTTCGTAGCGCAGCGTGGGGGGAGGGGCTGGGGGGAATTCTAAATTGGGCAGTGTGAGGAAACGAGCGTAAAGAGAAGCGTTTTGACCTGCAATATGCTGGTCGTGCACAGTACAGATGGGATGACACAGTGTGTGTGTATGCACGATCACATGTTCACACGCGTGCATACACTCGCACTGACACGTATTGCAAAATACACACACAGCAAGTATTGTTCAATGCTCATCAAACTGATTTTCTCTAATTTGATGTGCGTGGTCTTGGCTGAAGCACATAGATTCCATCCCTGATTTTTTTTTTTACATTCTGAACACTTTTTTTTACATTCTTGCTTCAACTAAAAATGTAATACAAGTCGTACCGTGTATAAGAACCGTGCTCTAAACAACTTTCCAAGCTCATAATATCCAACGTAAATATACAGTGGCCCCATACATATATTAAGCAATTTGTTTAAAATGTTTCCCATCTGATCAATTCCACATGGTTGCAAAAACCAATGCCCTTGAAAATTATACAGACGCTGTCGTACTAGGCAAAGGCTCACCGATCAAATAAAGACTTTATTTGATAAAGTCCCTATAAGATAGTTTAGTGTTTGCTCGATACAGACGTTGGTACAATGTAATTACATTAGTGTTTGCTTGTGACGCTGATTCATGCCGGCAAAGCAGGTTGTTCGAAATTGTGAGCAAGACGTATGGGAACGGTCAACTAAGTCACCGCTAATGGTGAAAGTGTTGAGTCTTTCACAACGGACACCGGCGGGCACGTTTTATAAAAAAAAATAAGTGACAGCGTTGTGAAGATAGCGCTCGTGTCGATGAAGTGCCGTTCACGCCGTGTCCCGTGGCTGTAAGTGCGCTTCGAGTACGGTGGCAACAACGCGGTGTGAGGTTGCATTCGCATCTCAGTTCATAATACAGGTTTTTTTTTTGGGGGGGGGATTGGGGTTAGATCACCTAAATATAAATGTGTCGTTAAACCCGTCACACACCCGGCACAGCCACTTAGTGAGTTTGTGTCACGTAAGCAGAACGTGCCAATTCGTTACTGGTACAGCACACCGGTGTGTTGGAGAACAAATCCACAACATTTACAATCCACGCGATCTAACCCAAGAAAAAAAAACCTGCATTGTAGATGATATTGGTCGCGAAAGCCGAATACGCGTTAAACTGACATCTCAGTTCGCCAATTTGCCAGAATTCATCATCGTCGTCATGGCCATAATCCCCATCTTCAGTTGTTTCCTTGGAGCCTTGACGCAAAGTGGCTGACCTAAGGATCATCAACCGCAGTTGGCAAAAAAAAAAATAATGTGCGGAGACAGTGGCTAACAAAACCGTCACGATGGCGTTACTTGACTGGTCAAATTGGCCGATCATTTGCATTATGAACCGCAGTGTCTCATGCCGAAGAAGAGCATGGTCACAAGGTTTGGAGATCGTGGTACGAAGAGTCACTCAAATGTAATGCAGCATGTAACCTTGTATATAGATGTACACTCAAATGCTGGTGCATTTTCATGAAAGTGCGATCAAAATATACAGATATAAAATTTCATTTGCATGTAATGGTTATTACACAAGTACGCTCATTGTAAGGGTAATAGTATTCAAAAAGTTGTCATGAATGTGAATTTTAACAAATATAACCTTAAAAACTTTTAGACCGACAATTATATATTCCTACTGCAGGGTTTACCCGCTGATTCCCAAGGCGTAATGAGGAATTCATCACACGGATGTGCACAAATTGAGTGCAAGCTTCTATTCCACACTATCTCCTGTATCGATGTGAACTTTCGCGTGCTGTAGTGGTTTGCGAATAGAGCGAGTAACACTGCCATGAGGATCACCCAGGCCAAGCGCATCGATAGACACAGGATTGCTGCAGATATCGTTGGGCGGAGATGCAAAGTGGAGGGGGGGGAGGGTCAATAGATGCCGAGGGGCGAATTTTGTTTCCCCCAGGCCATTTTCTATCCGACGCACACCGATGCGGAACTGCGAGCACGTTTGCGATTGGTCAACAGCTTCAGCTGCCGCATATCCTCGCAACAATGCAATGAACGAGAGGAGATGTGGATGGTGATGATGATGATGAGCGTTCCGGAAGGAAGCCGGGACTCAGGCCACGCGCCAGAGAAAGAAAGATGCTTGCTCGATGGACTTTGAATGAACGGGGAGGGAAAGCCGTACAGTGAAATGAAGAGGAAATCTCCAAGATATGGGACAGAGTGGACGAAGTTGGAGTCCAATGCCACTGGGCAGATGACTCAAGTGAAGTTCTCGATGCACTGACTGGCACGTTTTTTTCAAGCACAAAACCTATTTTAAATTCGCAAAAAATGTAAAACTAGAGCAGCTCCCTTTTCAAAATCGCATGACGTGGTCCCTTGGCGGTCCTGAAGCAGTGGTGGAAATTCCACATTCCTATGGTGGGGGTCATTCTGTCTGGAGCATGACCACTGCTGACTTACCTCCCAACGTTTACTGCATTTCCATCCAGACTTTTACAATTAAGCCCGAAGTTGGGTTGGTGGTGCTAGTTTCGGTGTCTTGCATTGAAATGTTTTGAACGCCTTACCGGTGCATGCACACTAAATATTCACAACAAATATTCACAATAAATATTCGCTATAAACTATTCGCAATAAACATTCGCAATAAACATTCGCAATAAACATTCACAATAAATATTCGCAATAAATATTCAGCAATAAATATCCACAATAAATATTCACAATAAGTGCGTGCATACTTGAGGATATCAAGACGAGAAAGAAAGGACGGTCTGTATATATTTTTTTGATCGCGTTCATTTCAGCGCTCAGTTTAAGTTCCAGGTGGCATTGTGCGGCCGAGCGCTCAGCTCACCATCGGAGGGTTGTGAATTCAAACATCCGGTGTTTGGGTGTTTCGACTCGACCCATCGCCCCTTTGAGTCGTTGACGATACAGGCACCACTTGGTGGGAAGTCAACAGTGGTTGTCTTACGTGGTGATAACGTTGTTGTTGTTGTTCGTGCTTTTTGTTTTGGTGACATTTTCTCATTTTTGTAAGTTAATTTGTTTATTCATTTTAGATTTTGCTTGGGAGTAGACATTAAATTAGCTTGATAGTGTCTGCATATGAGATTTCGTCCATATATATTTAATATCCAGCATTATGGGATACTATGACCATGAATGACGCTCTATGCAATGAAAGTATTACTATTGTATAACTCGCCACGAATTGTAGATTAATCACAATCTCCACTGCCGACATTCAGAGCACGGCGACATCGAAATTATCTCCGATTATTCGCGAATGCGGTTGCGGTCACTGGTGACATTCGCCGAGCTCACGAGGCGTCACGAGCGTTTCATTTCGGTGAGCCAAACGCTGGCTGTGGGGCGCGCATCGCCCAAGTGAAGTGAGCACGTCGCCATGAAAAAATTTAGCGGGCGTTCCGGTCATTAGGAGCTGCGGCGAGCAGCTAAGCGCACGGCACGACGCATCGCACCCACCAAACAAAGGGTGGCAGCAGCTATAGCGTTGGATGGAATTTGTTAAGCGGTGCGTGTGCGTGCGCGCGCGCGTGTGTGTGCGCACGCACGCGCGTGCGTGTTTATTTTGCCCTGTTATGAAAGGAGTATTTGATGTGCTTTCCCAACAGACGTCGCCTCTCCGAGCGAACAGAAGCAGGACACCCTCATCTGGGCATTTGTGTTTGCCGTCATAGTCGTGCTCCTACTCATCACCGCTTTTTTCATCATCAAAAGGAGGTAATAAGCAAGGGCACCGGGGCGAGCTCTTCTGCTCTCTCGCCGCACAAACAAATTCGTTTTTGCCGTTCCCCTCCCTTTCATCTGAGCCGCCTGTGTGCACGCACGCACACGCGCACACGCGCGTGTTCATTTAATGCCGCGCGTCCGTGCATGCTCCTCTTTGCATAATGGGTCCAATTCTCATTTTGTGTGGTCCACTGTTTATTTTGTGGCATAAATAGGCAATCTCACTTGAAGTTGATTAGAGATCGTACCACCACAGAGCACACATTGGCTTTTTAACGCGTTTATTTTAATGTAATTTTCTCCTTTTTTCGACCTCCAAAAAATAAAATAATAAAGTTGCGCGTGTGCGACCGCGTTGCGTCGAGTTGAATTGTTGCATGCGTCACGCTTCCTCTCGTTTAAGGAGGTGCGGTTACAGCAAAGCGAAGCAGGATTACGATGAGGAGAAAACACGCTTCCATAGCGGCCACGGTAACCACACCGCCTCCACACCCACGCACACCACACCACCTCTCTCGCCTCCACACCCACGCACAACACACCGCCTCTCTCGCCTCCACACCCACGCACATCACACCGCCTCTCTCGCCTCCACACCCACGCACAACACACCGCCTCTCTCGCCTCCACACCCACGCACATCACACCACCTCTCTCGCCTCCACACCCACGCACACCACACCACCTCTCTCGCCTCCACACCCACGCACAACACACCGCCTCTCTCGCCTCCACACCCACGCACAACACACCGCCTCTCTCGCCTCCACACCCACGCACAACACACCGCCTCTCTCGCCTCCACACCCACGCACACCACACCACCTCTCTTGCCTCCACACCCACGCACAACACACCGCCTCTCTCGCCTCCACACCCACGCACAACACACCGCCTCTCTCGCCTCCACACCCACGCACACCACACCACCTCTCTCGCCTCCACACCCACGCACAACACACCGCCTCTCTCGCCTCCACACCCACGCACACCACACCACCTCTCTCGCCTCCACACCCACGCACACCGCCTCTCTCGCCTCCACACCCACACACACCACACCACCTCTCTCGCCTCCACACCCACGCACACCACTCCGCCTCTCTCGCCTCCACACCCACGCACACCACACCACCTCTCTCGCCTCCACACCCACGCACACCACACCACCTCTCTCGCCTCCACACCCACGCACACCACACCACCTCTCTCGCCTCCACACCCACGCACACCACACCACCTCTCTCGCCTCCACACCCACGCACAACACACTGCCTCTCTCGCCTCCACACCCACGCACACCGCCTCTCTCGCCTCCACACCCACACACACCACACCACCTCTCTCGCCTCCACACCCACGCACACCACTCCGCCTCTCTCGCCTCCACACCCACGCACACCACACCACCTCTCTCGCCTCCACACCCACGCACACCACACCACCTCTCTCGCCTCCACACCCACGCACACCACACCACCTCTCTCGCCTCCACACCCACGCACACCGCCTCTCTCGCCTCCACACCCACGAACAACACACCACCTCTCTCGCCTCCACACCCACGCACATCACACCACCTCTCTCGCCTCCACACCCACGCACACCGCCTCTCTCGCCTCCACACCCACGCACAACACACCACCTCTCTCGCCTCCACACCCACGCACATCACACCGCCTCTCTCGCCTCCACACCCACGCACACCGCCTCTCTCGCCTCCACACCCACGCACATCACACCACCTCTCTCGCCTCCACACCCACGCACACCGCCTCTCTCGCCTCCACACCCACGCACACCGCCTCTCTCGCCTCCACACCCACGCACACCGCACCGCCTCTCTCGCCTCCACACCCACGCACATCACACCGCCTCTCTCGCCTCCACACCCACGCACACCACACCACCTCTCTCGCCTCCACACCCACGCACACCACACCACCTCTCTCGCCTCCACACCCACGCACACCACACCACCTCTCTCGCCTCCACACCCACGCACATCACACCACCTCTCTCGCCTCCACACCCACGCACACCACACCACCTCTCTCGCCTCCACACCCACGCACACCGCCTCTCTCGCCTCCACACCCACGCACACCGCCTCTCTCGCCTCCACACCCACGCACACCGCACCGCCTCTCTCGCCTCCACACCCACGCACATCACACCGCCTCTCTCGCCTCCACACCCACGCACACCGCCTCTCTCGCCTCCACACCCACGCACACCACACCACCTCTCTCGCCTCCACACCCACGCACACCACACCACCTCTCTCGCCTCCACACCCACGCACACCACACCGCCTCTCTCGCCTCCACACCCACGCACACCACACCACCTCTCTCGCCTCCACACCCACGCACACCGCCTCTCTCGCCTCCACACCCACGCACAACACACTGCCTCTCTCGCCTCCACACCCACGCACACCACTCTGCCTCTCTCGCCTCCACACCCACGCACAACACACCGCCTCTCTCGCCTCCACACCCACGCACATCACACCGCCTCTCTCGCCTCCACACCCACGCACACCACTCTGCCTCTCTCGCCTCCACACCCACGCACAACACACCGCCTCTCTCGCCTCCACACCCACGCACATCACACCGCCTCTCTCGCCTCCACACCCACGCACAACACACCGCCTCTCTCGCCTCCACACCCACGCACAACACACCGCCTCTCTCGCCTCCACACCCACGCACACCACACGGCGTATGCCGCCACTCTCAAGCTGCGTGAACGCTCTTCCCAGGCATATTTTGTTGAACTTGAAACTCGGCGACGGCGTTATGCATCGGCAACTTGGATACATACCCTTGATGGCTGTGATATATAAATATATACCATGTTTGCGTATATAACACATGTCATCACCAAAACAGTTTTGTTCGGCAATCCAAAGCATGCCAGTCAAATGAAGCTTCCGTCTCGTTTAAGAGAATGCCATTTAGTCAACACGGCCCGTGACGTGCCACCTTCAAAGCGGAGCCTCCAGTTGAAGTGCCATGCTCACCCCACCCGACCCCCCAAAGCAACGACACCGGACTCAGCACGTCACTTTCACACACACAGACACATGCCACGGCTGTCAGTGGCAGGGGTGGAGAAGTGTGACTTCCCGCCGCGAAGCCGCAGTGTGGATGATGTGTGGCACACTCGGAGGGGGGTGGTGGGGTGTGAAGCTGCCCTGCCATGCGCTTGTCCTGTCAAGGGCGCTGCAGTGGCTAGGAGATGTTCGCGACCTCGCACTGGTATACAGGAGGTTCGTGGGTTCGATCCCGATCCTGACGCCTGCTGTGTATTTGAAGTTTGCGCGTCTCTCTCAGCGTCGTCATCACGGTGGCTAGGAGATGTTAACGACCTCGCGGTGGTATACAGTAAAGCCTTAATTCTAGAATACAGGAGGTCGTGGGTTCGATCCCGACCCTGACGACACCTGCACATTCAGAGTGTGCATGTGTTCCCCGTGGTCGCGCGGATTTTATATCCAGGTCCTCTGGTTTTGTCGCTCCACGTGTAGAATCGATGTGCTTTCGGAGAATTTGGCTGAATGGAAGTCCTTACGTTTTGATGTGTGCGTTGCATTGACGTACAATGAGAAATTCAAAGAAGTTGTTGTTACATGGAACTATCTTTCTGATGAAAAGAGCATGGGCTCATGCTGATCTCCATTCGTTGTCCTAAGCGATCCATTGCTGGTGCTAAGCCAATGGTGACAATTCCGCATTACTATGTCAGAGACTATCTCTCCGCAGAACAACCAATGTTGACTTCCCAAAGTGGTTCGAATAAAGCACGTGATATTTACACTCTATCCAACAACCTGTTTTATATTTTCTAAAGAGGCATTGCATAATAAGTCAGAGCAATGGCCCAATCATGACAAATTAGACGAACCACATGGAATTGGAGTACAATTGCACGATTTCTCTTCTTAGTACACTTTCTGGGAAAATAATTTCTCTTTCCGTACTGGGAGGATAATCCTTAGTGGCACAAAAGCTGCTGCAAAGGAAAGTAATTGGTTCAGAGATGACGAATTATCGGACACAAAAAAAAAGTAATTGTTTACGTGCAAATTTGTAGTGTTGTCTGGGTGTGTGTGTGTGATTATAGTTTTTTTTACCTGTGCATAATAAATGTCATCCTTCGGCTTGTGCCTAGCCTGGGTAATTTGTCACTTTGTCGTCCACAGTGAAACTGCCGGGCTTGAAGATGTACATAGACCCGCACACGTACGAGGACCCCAATCAGGCGGTGCACGAGTTTGCGAAGGAAATTGATGCCTCGTGCGTCAAAATCGAACGAGTTATCGGAGCGGGTGAGACTCTCAATCATAAACCGTGTCCGCGTTGCCTGTACCTCGTGATCCCGATGCCCGTCGCGGGATCGTCACACCCAAGCAGTGGGGCAGGTGGGCTGGGGTAGAGAGCGGTGAGGAGGAATGCGGGGACTAAAATTTACGCACGCAAGCGGTGATCCAATGCTTGCAGTCAAGGTATAGACGAGCAGTGGGGTAGCACTCATCTCCATGGGTGGTGACCCCAAGCCACTGGTATTAAATTCACATTTCTATAGCAACGGCCAGTCTCTCCGTAATGTGCATTGTAATAATAGCCATACTAGATTAGGTACATCCCTTCTTCACGCACTGCCGGATGAAGGCCTCCCCACGTCGTGTCAATAATCGCTTTGCATATCGTTGATGCTGGCCGTAGCCCAAATTTAAACCCGGGGCCGCCGGGTTCGTAGCGCGGTGGGTGAATCGACCGGCGCCGCCGCTGCACATCCCACGGTTAACGCTGCTTACACCTCGAGCTGCTGCGGAAGCTCAAATGCAGACCATGCGCCCATTATAGATTACATCGCCACATTTAACTCGTCCAGTTGAAGCTGGCCGTAGGCACACCTCTCGGAAGCGAGGCCACTCACGCGCGCGCGCGCACGAAATGTGCTCGTGTCAGAGGGCTGCCCCATCGCCGTCCCTTCTTCCAGGGTAACGGTGGTCAAACCGGCGTCTTCCCGAGCCACGTGGGGCTCTTACGTCAACCACACGTGGCTCTATCGAAGGGGCATGACGCAAAACGCGCGATCACCGTCGTAGCAAAGAGATGAAGGATGTCCCCCGTGCTGTACAGAAAGCCAGATATTTGCAGGTTAGCCACCCCTGTTCCAGGGCAATATAATGACGCGTTACTTGTGAGAACTGCGCTCATATAAGGGTGTGCTTATATCCGGCCTTTGCTATATACACGCTTGTATATAATGACAGTAAGAAAGTGACATCCATGGCATGTGCCACCCACTGTCACCATCGTGGACCCCCAGGCGAGTTTGGGGAGGTGTGCAGCGGCTACCTGAAGCACCCGGGCAAGAAGGAGGTGTGCGTGGCCATCAAGACGCTGAAGGCCGGCTACACGGAGCAGCAGCGCAGAGACTTCCTGTGCGAGGCCAGCATCATGGGCCAGTTCGACCACCCCAACATCATCAGGCTGGAGGGGGTCATCACCAAGAGTGAGTTCCACACAATCAAACTTACCTAAACTAATTTTTTTTTCGCCAAGTAAGGCCCACCGAGCGATATAGTTTTTTTTTTTCAGAATCGTAATAGATCTTCTTGGTTCTTTCGGTAAAGTCACGTAGAATGGAAATAATAAAATAATAAAAATAAAACATTATAAATTTAACATAATACATTTTTTATTTTATTTTATTATTTCCATTCTACGTGACTTTACCGAAAGAACCAAGAAGATGAATCCCTGCAGTCACTAAAGCATTAAATCGAAATTGTCATAGAATCAGAGTGTTTATTTATACTGGAGGAATCCGATGAGCTATGAAGCTGTTTTTCACAGATGTCCAGTAGTTTCACAAATGTCTGGTATTTTCACATTTGCGACCTGGCCACAAGTGAAAGCAGCTCAACGAGGTGGTTTTAACAGTGTGAAAATGTATCGTAGCCCAATACTTAATTCTAAATGTGGAGGGAAAAACCCGAGGACCCAGAGAAAAATCCACGCGACCACGAGGAGAACATGCAAACTCCAAATATTTAGATGTGAGGGATCTGGATCTAACCCACAACCTTATGTAGACCAGGCGAGGTAATTAACATATTGCCACCAAGGCACCTCAACCAATCAATCAAACAGATTCTAGACGAGGAAGAACAAACGCATGCACATGTATGAATTGTGGCAGATACATTTGATGGTATCTGTACAATGGCAGCATATACACACCAAATTGCTGTTATGTCTGTCCAGATTTAGATTGGTATAATTGTACCCTTTCGTTTGTGGGATTTTCTTGAGGTACTCCAGTTGAATCGCATGCACGTTAATGAAGTGGACCAACTTTCCAATGCAGGACCCTTGATGACAAAAATATTGAGACTCAAAGTCGCCCCTGTTGTTTGTTCTAGTGGTTTCATTTAACCTCATAGTTGTAGTTCTACAACTAAGATGCTGAAAGCCGGCTGCACCTACTGGACATCTGTGTAGTTCTACAACGATGATGATGATTACCATGTTGACGACATCATTATGAAGCCACTTTCAATCTAGTCCTGCACCCAAATGCATTACTATAACCGCTTTGGTTCTGCAGTATAATTGCTTACCCCTTGATGTGCACCGTGCATCTCATGTTTTTTATGTGCCCCAGTGATTCATCCATCACATGTCCTCCATCGCCAGTGTTGTCCGCTGCTTGCCGTCCCCTGCAGTGGGTGTCGTGTTTTGTATTTCTGTTCACTAAACATCCCATGCTGCTGTCCCCTTCCCGTCTTACAATTAGGCCCGGATCGTGATTCGTTTTCCTTTGTGTACATTTCGTTGTTGGTGCCATCCTGTTTGTCACTTTGGTTTACTGTACGAAAACATAACAGCGGTCGGGTTTCAATAGCTGAGTCATCAGGCAGCGGGAAGGAAGTGATGGTGAGGTGTGGCATTATTAACAGGATTGCTGCCCATGATTGCCGTACTTGCGTGTAATTGCCCATGCTTTAATATGTTATGCAATGGCTGCCGCCGCCTGCCAACGGATCGCTTTACAGTTTACTCATTTAAAATCACGCGCGGGCTCCTTTACCGCGTGTGATGCGAATATGTGGAACGAGGCCACCCTGTGCCAGAGGTCGCAAACGGGTTTTGATTCCTTACCCGTACCCGTACCTGTATCCTACCCGGCCAGGTACGGGTAGGGTACGGGTATCAGGTACCTGATTGGGACCTCTGGTATGAAGCCATGTTGCAGGCGCGTGTGGGTTGATTCTAGGAACTTGAATTGTGAGAAGAGACAAGACGTTGGGAAATGAGTGACAAACAGTTACTCACCAGTAACTCACGGTCTACCCATACCCTTACCCGGCCGCACCAGGGTCGCAAACGGGTACCCGTACCCGTACCCGGCCGGGTACGGGTAGCCGGGTATCGGGTAGGGTACTGGTATCGGGTACCCGGTTGCGACCTCTGCCCTGTGCATGCAATTTTTTTTTTCCTTAACCTCCAACCCTTGATGAAAGTGCACCACATCAGCAAAACTGGAAGGCTCTAAAGGCATTGTCCTCTGCCAGCCGGTGACCATTACCATAATCAAGTTTACCCAATGAAAGAAAGTTACTTTGAAAGTTATGGATCACACTCCCCAGACTTTTCTTATTTATGGAAAACTACCCCCGCTACAAAATTGATGGAGAGTTTTCCAAATTTGTACAAATCCTTTAAGATTATCAAAGTGAAAATGTTATTTTTGTGTTTTTTATTTGCCAAGTTAATTGATCATAGCTGATAATTGACAGTACAATAGTTCCCTAGATACTTCCAGTCAGAATGAGCCCTTACTCAATGCTGTACAACAACAAACACTCAAGTGAAGTCTATTTACATAGTCTACAGAATTGTATTATCACCATTAGTTATGAACAATCCACTGCTGGATGAAGGCTTCCCCAAGTCCTGTCTCTCAGAGTTATCCGATCCAAATTGTTTAACTGTGCAAAAATGGGAATCACGTACAATGCTATATCGGAATGTTTATTCGTGAAAAGTAACTGGCGAATGAATTATCTTAAACATTTTTCTGCATTATTAGAATTACGATCACCCACACAATCTTGCAATGCTGCTTTGTCGTTCAGTTGAGTTTTATCACTGCAGAGCACCCGATTCATATTATCCGCCTTTGTAATTCAATGTCAAGGTAGGAATGTTTTTGTACGGGACACTTTTAATTAGTTGCCCGTAAGATGTCTGTTGAGTTAAAGAAGCCTTCAATGGGTTGTGTGGACGAACAAGGGGACACTTCAGTGCATATTGCCGGCTTGAGAGCATTGGCTGAACTTCAGCAAGTGATCCCACCCCCACAATCTCAACTTGGCCAAATTCCCATCTCTCTGCATAAGGGAGCATTCTCTAATGAGACCTAATAAGTTGTGCACGCCCGAGTGTTTGTGTGTGCGCGCGGCGCTGAATGATGGTGTCCCGGGCTAGCAGACTGAGAGATGCAATCCCGGCAAGTCGGGGTTTGAGACCTGCTGTCGCGCGCTAGCTGGCAGTTGGGTTTGCTCCAGTGCAGCTCAAGACGGAAAAAAAAAAGTGATTAATCTGCGCTTTAAAACTGTTGTGAGAGGCGCCTTTGTTGCCCTCCGTGCGCTACGTGCTGCCGTGAACAGAATGCGGCTCCGTGAACCACACTGTGCTGGAATAGAGAGAAGGGCACCCTTGTTGTTTGTCTTTATCGACGCGGTGTCAGCACGCTCTATCTAATTTACACGACTTTGATGCTCGTACGAAGGGACCGCATACTGAGTCGAGTCGAAACGTCTCTGTGCTCACACACGCGCCCTTGGCCTTGCGGCAGAGACCGTCAGACAACCATTGCTGACTTCTCACGTGTGGATTACTAATTGTTTAACCGCAAAAAAAGATGATCGGCCGAGTTGCCCCCTGACCGGGCGGCAAGCGAGCGCTTCGCAATCACAAAAAAATGGTTGTCGTCGAAAACCCAATCAGGAGTTAATTCAGCCCATCATCTCACTAGGGTCGATAAAGTCGCTACCACAACAAGGGCCCTGCAATACTGTCTGCAACTACCTTAACTTAGGAAGCAGCATTTTCTTTTGTTCTGTATTTCTACTTCCTACTGAGTGACACCTTCCCCTACCCGATCATCATCTAATTTTACAAGTTCATAATAACTTGCTCAATTCAAGAAATGTGTTTAATTATAATCGGCCGCATTGGCCTTATTACTCTATTTGAGGGCCGTATTTTAAATGTGCTCTGCAGCAGTGATTTTTAACAACGTCGTTTTCTCGAACTTCCTCTACTAGATCAGTACCTTCATGAAGGTTGGCTTAGACACGTACTCGATGAGTCTTAAAGAACGCCAAGTTTTTGAGTGTCTATCATCAAATGAGCAGTGGGTTCAATGTTCATTTCCAATGTAATTTCTGTGCCAGCAGTGTAAATTCCACATTGCTATGGCAGAGGATAGTCAGCGCACAGGCTAATTTAAGAAGGGTCAAGGTGGCTTCACACTGGATCGTTTAAATCCGTGAAGTGAAAATCACGACTTACGTTGTGTGAAGCGTGCTCACATCACCACGGTTGACCGCGACGCTACGTGTAACGCAGCGTGCCACCTTCTTGATAATGATTGCTTCATCGTCGTGCGATCACCCCTCTTTGCTCCTCCCTAACCCCGATCGACAGGCGGTTTCTCTTACCGTTCACTTGACGCTCAAAGGCGCAACTTTGTCAACACAGCGCCACGTTAACTCTCCACCTCGGTGACCACGTCACTTAAGTGAGGGCTCCAAGTGGCCATTACGCTAGGCTACGTGATTTTTGCACGACCCAGCGTGAACCCGCCCTTGGGTCGCATGATAGCTGCATATTCTCAACAACAACAACAGAACGCTCCTTTGAAGAATTCTCAAAAAGAAAAAAGATGTTTGTGGACGCCCGGCTCCCGTTGCGAGTCTCCGCAGGGTGACTTAATCATATAAGTGGGTGGGACCCACAAAATTGGCCACCTTGCCCGCGAGCTTTGAATTAATCAAGATCTGGCGTCTGGTGTGCATTCTTAAGTACGGCTCGAGCAACACGAGAGCAGAATGTGTGATGAATATCGCCTGCCCAAGACTCGGTACACACCGACAGGAGGGAAGCAATCTCAAAGGCCGACAAACGCTTTAGCCCATTAGAATTCAGACCCCCACCCCCTGCCCCCCCCCCCCCACCGTTGCACGCAGCCAAAGCGCATTTAGAATGCGGCGATTGCCGAAGCAATATGATTGCCTGCCAATTGTGATGTGCGCTAACCTAACTGCCGTGCGCTTCTGCCCCTGAAGTGTAAGCGCGCAGACTTCTTAATAACCGTCGGAATACATTAAACATTTCGCAGCTGCCTATTCATGATGGCACCTTCTCTTGAGGCATTCGTTATGTGATCGGCGATACTTGTGAAGTGGTGCTTCAATTGCAAAGTCCGCTCAGTCCGAGTAGCAGTGACGGTCTTCTTGGTTCTTTCGGTAAAGTCACGTAGAAGGGAAGTAATAAAATAATAAAAATAAAACATAATAAAATTATTCTCACGACGTTTCGGCCACAACGCATTGTGGCCGAAACGTCGTGAGAATAATTTTATTATGTTTTATGAACCAATAAGATGAATCCCTGCAGTCACGAAAGCTTTAAATCAAAATTTAGCAGTGACGGTCGTCACGTTTGTTGTTATTGTTATATATTGATCAGTTCTTCAACTTAACGAGGATGGAAATATATCATATACTGTGGCATCACCATGGTCATAGAAGATTGATACGGTGCTCATATGTTTTATTTATATATATATATAAACACATGGCGATGCATGTCAGCAGTGATATAATATGTGAATGCTACCGTGTAGTGGTTATTATTTTGCCAGAAATTATTAATTGTGAATGGTTTTGTGAATTAATGCATTTTGTGTTCTTCTTCTCTGAAGGTAAACCTGTCATGATCATCACTGAATTCATGGAGAATGGATCCTTGGATTTATTCTTAAGGGTAAGTAGCAAGGCCACTTTACATCACTGCTATTATTGGCAAGTCAGATTCACTGTTCTTAGGGCAAAACGATGTTGGTATTGCATTTATTCTCTCCGTCGTCCCTGCTCAAAAACGAATTCATCGTTAGTACTGGGCACAGGAATTACGTTGAAATTAACGACTGAAACTTGACTTATACCCTTTTCTGATCCAGAACTATTTCTCAAGCATACTCAAAGCTGCTTCTTAACTGAAGCTACGTACAATGCAACATTTACACGACAGTATATACAGACACCCAGCTAGGCCAGTGGTACATTTGCCACCTGTCCTGGGATTCTCAGGATTTTCTTATTTTTTTTATTCTGAGATATTCTTCTTTCCACGACGTGGCCTGGTTTTTGTTGTACCTCAGTGATGGCAACCCTCACCATTTGGCAGGGCAAATAAAACACAGTGTCTACATTCGCTATATAAATGTGAAAGTATTATTATAGAGACGTAAATTCAATGCCTGCAGATGCCTTATTGATTTAAATTAAAGAGGTAATTGCAGCCCAGGCTCTTTCCAGGGTCAATCAAATTAGTACCATTTTGGGGAAGTCAACATTGGTCATGCAATGCAGATACAGAATGAGAATATTGATACTGTAGGAGGAATCTGATGAGCTATAAAGCTCTATTTCACAGATGCCCAGTAGGGGCGGTTCATAAAGTCACAACAACGAACAATACAAAAACACCATATGAGTTCAAAGTATAGGAAAGGTAAGCAAATCACGAAACAAAATAAAAAGATACTGACTTTTGCCGTCGGAATGTGGAACTTGCAACACTGGCTCAAAGCCAGATGTCTAAGTGTGGGGCAACCACAATGCTCATTTAAACGGAGAGAGAGAGATACACTTTGACTTTCTCCAGCCGCGCCAGAGATAAATAAACGTCAAATAAAAGTGCGGGCAAAACCTGAAGGGCGTTGCAAATGCCCACGAGCATATCGGCTCTGTCAAGGCTCCTCCGTTCGATAGCGAGGTGCCCAGCGGTGTCTCGGCCAGCGAATATTCACGGTGTGCGCGAGGTGCGGTGAGGTTAATAGTGCCAGTGCACCCTATTCCCACCCGATACCGACGCGCTAAGTGTGTTTGCCTGCAACGTACACGGAACCATTTCCCCAGTGGGTGAGCCGAGCCAGCAACCTCATTACTTTGCACCGCAGAAATGACTGACACTCGTACGTGGCGAGGCCTAATGAGCACATTTTTTTTAAGGAGCCGCCCATGGGATTTTACTAATTAATCTGCGTACGGGTAAGCACATTATTTTCATTAACTCGTTTCCGTTGATGCGGTGTCCGTGCGCCTGCCTAGTCGTACAATGGGCAAGTGAAATTGAAACCCGCGTTGTGCGTTTTTTTTTTTGCGCGCGATTCAACTCGGTCACTGATTGCAATGATTATCGCGACGGTTGTAATGATTGTAACTCACCCTTGCATGCTTATGGTGAGTGTAGTAAACCGTATACACAGGAGTCGGCCATCTGTGGCACAGTGGTCAGAGTCAAATTTGCCTCGCAAATGGGGCTCAACTCAACGCGTCATGCCCCGCTGATAAAGCTACTACCACTTTTTTGGGGGGTCAACGATGGTTGACTTATGGATAGATTGGTCCCCCGCCATGGGATGTGAAATTTACACCAATGGATATTGGGTCGTCAATGCCGATTAGTGTCATTCACTTACTCATTTGGAGCAGAGAAACACTTTGACACACTTAAACACGTTCAACCACATAGACTGTTAGGTGCGGACACTGTTAGTAAGCACCTATTACAGCAGGCAACGTACACAAGTGCCTCGTAGAACCAGCACCACACTCGGCTGCCTTAGTGCTGACATTAACAGATAATTTTTGGACGACTTGACAGAGAGTGAAACACGTGCCATGTTCAGATACACAACTGCGCAGGTATTGCGTGTGGCCAGGAATGTGAATGCATTGCAACACATTGTACTAAATACCACATTAACATTCCCTACACACCCATAGATATATATGGTTATACACATATGCAGTTACATGTAGAGTGCCTCCATGTCCCAATGATGACTTCCCCACGAAGTGGTGATGGCACAATCGTGACCTGGAAACTTGTACATTTGCAATTTTGAGTCCAACACTTCTGAAAACAGTGCCACGTACGCGTGAGAGTTTACAGACTCGTGTACCAACACAAAACTCCCAACAGACCTACATTATTCATGGTAGAGTTCGTTTTGGCCTTTTTTTTGAAGGTCACAACTGAGTGTTAAAGCGGTGCAGAAGGCAGGCAAACCCGTTCTATACATTGACACCAAATCACCTGTAAAAATGCGTTACTCCAAGCGTGTGCGGCTGAGAAGGTTATTACTTATTACTGTACCATGACCTGATCACGGTCATTGAAAAAGGCCTGTCAAATTTTGACAAATGGACATTTAAATTATACGGAATGCCTAACCGTCTGAATTAATGACTATTCAACGCTACTTAAGTTGATGGAGTGTCATTTTTGGTCATATGTGGCAAAGTATATGAATTTCTCAGTGCTTTTTTCTTCAAAATACAGTAATTAGAACATCTGCATCGAAAGGCAGTCTTGCCAGAATATTCATGTATTAATCTTCGTAAGTATTGACTTACTCATCCAGAGTGTGACAGTTTAAAGGGTGTTTGCCATAAACGGGCCACTTCCACGAGTTGTGATTGAGAAGTTTGAGATTAAGTTTGGAAAAAATGCATTGGCAATGATGATTAATGAATCTAATTAACTGTTATGTTTGGGCAATCAATCATAAGAAACATTTTAAAAATTACGTTGAGACATCGATATTGTCACGAGTCCTGTGGTTCCTTATGAGGGACACAATTAAACAAATATTGACTAGAGGAAGCAAGGTTATTGCGATATTACAAGCAGTGGCTAATTAAATGCCCTACATAATTAATTCACTATAGACTTGCATGTTTTAAAAAAGAAAGAAAAAAACATCAAAGCAACTTAAAGTTTAAGTGAACACTGGACAATGTTCAAATCCATTGCTGATCCTGAGCAAGTGGTAGAAACTTCCACATGTGTATGACAGGGACAAGTACATCCACAACACAGCCACCAGTGTTAACTATGGCTGAAATGACTCATGAATGCGTTGATTACATGAACATGACTATGTTAAACATCAGTAATGGTTAAGACAGACTGATTGGAGTTCTGTCTGGATGGTGCGATCTGAAAATTGAAATCTAAAATCGCAATCAGATTCTGACTCTCAGGGTGATTAAATCAGAACAACGTTGATGGAAGTCATCAGTGGGTTTATTTTTTTCCACCCATTTCTGTATTTTTGGACAAACTGGTCTCTGCCGTAGAAATTGTGAAATGTACATCTGTGGCTAATGGTTACCAACTGTAGACAAGTCTCCACATCTGCACGTGTAAGCAGAGGCACAACACTCCAACTTGCTTTAAATTTAATCTGCCAATATTATATTGGTTCAAATGAGGTCAGTTTACCCACACGGCACCACACCTGCCAACACTTTCCAATGTGATAATTAACATTTTTTTTTGGTTCGCTATCAGAATTAGGCACAGAATTGCACTCAGTCACCCATTCATTCACGCATGTATATATAAACGCAATAGTTTGATATGAGCAAGTGCGCACGGCTGTGAGTTAACGCCAACATAGATTCTTAATGAGCTAGGTCTATCTGGCACGGGCCTTAAAGTTGGGGTGGTCAGTGGGCTTGCCTGACTAGCGGATTACATGAGACGCATGCATATAATGCACTGCATGGTGGGTATTAGTGACCCGGTATTAATGAGATCACGGACTATGACAGCAGAATTAATGGGATTTATTGCTCTGTCGTGTGTGTGCATGCCATATAATGGCTGTACGTCCCGGAATGAGCCGTGTTTGTTCATGAGCTTCATTATCAATTACACTAATAAAAATGTTCCGTGCAAGACAAACTACGTAAAGATCATAGACAAATTACTTACGCGGACCGATAAACAATTAGCAAAATTGTTGGCACTGTTTCAGGCTTTTATAATTCAAAAATTATCAGTGTGTATTTTTTTGGCCGTGTCTTACGGAGTGTTTGCATACTGGTTAGCGTGTTGTGCTATGAAACTTGCCCAAGTCCAATGTCTCACGCATTAGTTTTATTCAGGCAAAAACCGAAAGGAACCATTCAGGAAATGTTCAGAATCTCTCAGTTCCTGCAGCGAACGGCAATCCGAACACGCACCGGAGAGGTGCATAGGAATAGTATCTCGCAATGTGCTAACCACTGTAACTGCTCGCCACACAACACACGCGCGGCACTCACACCCACGACTCGACACGCACACACACAGGCACACGTTTCTATACAACCACGGGGCTCACTGGACGTTTGGTGTAGATAAATCTCCACTAATGTTCGGGTCACAGCGGGGACTTTTATATCATCCTCCTCCTCCTCCTGCTGCTATTATCCGTGCGCTGCGGTTCTGATGATGACCACCATCATCGTTTCATAAGAGAATTACATCTTTGCAAAGAGCAGTTTGTAGGTTCACATTTCATTGCACTTTCACCGGGAGAGTTACGTGTGAGATTCTGGTGTTACAACCAGATACATGCAGAGCACACAGCACCCTGTGCCGTGCTATATCATCTTTATAGTGATGCGTGTTTACTGAGCACAAAATCCAATAGGAAGTCATGTGTCATAGGGAATTGTGCCGTAAAGACGTCTGTCGCTTTACAATGCTGTTCAATTATTTAATATTTTTTCTTAGGAGCCTATGTGCAGTGTAGGTGCTGCATTTTTATTGTTTTTTCTTAAGAATGCTTAAACAGTGCCAGTGAAAATGTAAAGCTTGAAAAAATTAAATGGGTCCCAAGTCTCGTGGGGACTTTTGATGGGATCATAAGACCGGCAGACAAGCTATGTATCAATTTAAAGCTTTCGTGACTGCAGGGATTCATCTTCTTGGTTCTTTCAGTAAAGTCACGTAGAATGGAAATAATTAAATAATAAAAATTAAACACAATAAAATGTTTCTCACGACGTTTCGGCCACAATGCAAGCAGCCGTCCTCAGGTGGAGAACAGGTCTGTCGAGAAGACAGAGTCTCATTCAGACTCTGTCTGAGAATTATTTTATTATGTTTTATTTTTATTATTTTATTATTACCATTCTACGTGACTTTACCGAAAGAACTCAAGAAGACAAGCAATGCAGATGGAGGGAAGGTTACTGAGATGCACATCCGACAGTGTTGCCGAGAGGTCGGTAACAGAGGGACATAGCACGAATAGCAGACTACTTTAAGAGTGGACTTTGGAGGTCAAGTGTTGACTGCAAGCAACTGAGATATCTCGCAAGAGTAAAGCAGATGTGGTGAGATATGGCTGCATAACTCCAATTGGCCATGATCTATTGTGTAAATTGTTCTCATTTCATACTCATTTAAACCATTGCAGTCCACCACGCCGAGTGTGAAGCATGAGAGGGGAAATGGAATTTCTTTCAGGGAAGCATTCATTCAAATGGAGACTTTTCAAAGCGCATTCCATCGCCGCAAATGTACGTGCTAAAAACTGCTGTTTAGAAACACTGGGAATTGACTGAGAAGCATCAATATCTAATGCACTCCACCCTTGTCTCATCAGCCCAATTATGCTACTCGCAGTGTAATAGACCTACTGATTACCTACCAAAGCAACGTAACATTGACTTAACCTGCCGCTGTTCGCATAATGGATAGGTTGTTGCAATGGATTAGTTTATAATCAAACCTGTTCGTTAAACTGCAAGCAAACTGCATTCACAGTCAATCGTTTGCTCCTGAAACAATGCTTATAAACTCAGTTGTATTTATTTATACATGTACCCATGCCAAAATTACAACCTATTTCACTCCACCAGTGAATGAAGATCTCCCAATGCATATTCAGTTAGAGGGGATTTCCCGACCATACTTTGGTGAATATGGGGGGGGGGAGGTGAGGGGTTGGGGGATTGCAGGAGCATTTCTGTTGTGAGCCGTGGCCAGGAATCAAACTCGAGTATGCCGAAGGCAGTTGCACGAACCAACGTGTAACCCATTTATGACGGGTGAGCAACCAACACGCGTGTTATTTTTTGTATGCAGTCAAAATCAAGTCTCAAAGTGTTGCAATGATCAGATGAGCACACTCTTCCCCGCCCTGGCAATGTGGAATGTCACTGCTGGCTCAAGGCCACCGATGGAGATCAATGCCGCGTCAATGCTCATTTGAGCACGGAGACGATTGGCGTTGCCTCGGATTTGACCAGATATGCATCACTACGCTGACTTTTATCTTGGGAAGGGCCACAGGTCAGCAAGTTCAGATTCCAATTGCCACTGTGGGTTGTGAATTATCGCCAGGATTAAAGGCCTGCTTAGGCGGAACTTAGCAGAGCACACACTCAACTTTGCCACAATTGTCTCTCCACACGTGGGCAGGTACAGACACAAACGCACATCAAGTGGTAAACTGGCACGCCTATTTAACAGCCAAGAAGAACCAAAACTATCCCCCATTGAAAAGAAAAATTAACAAAGCAATTGCCAGCCTATGACCACGTAGTGTTGCGTAATCCATTCAAAAGTAATTCCCTGAGTGTCGGGATGAAATTTAATTACGGGAAGGTAGCTAAGCTAAATCTCTAACCTGCTGCTCAGGAATAAAAGGCTGTGTATGCAAGGCCCAGGAGAAAATGATCACGCTAACCCTGGCGTTTCATTTGTTTTGTGGTATTATGCAAAGCATTATTTTAAGCAGACATGAGCGACAAAGTAAAACTAATGCCGTTGGTACTGCGGTTAAATGTGACAATGCCAGGCAATGCTGTGATGGGTTTATGGTTAGAGGTTTGGATTGGAAAATTGTTTAAACAAGATAGATTTACATTTGTTTCAATTATCTGTGGTTCCTTCATATTATTACTGTGCATAAGAGGATATTGAAAGATAGTGAATGGGTGCTGTGTTCCCCGCACCTCCGATGCATGCGGTTGACTACAGTACGGTGTGAAAGAAGGTCAACATACATACATTCCAACAGAGATTCAATGAATTGGTACAATTCTCGATCGCCAATTGATTGATTAAATAATTCGTTTCATGGCCTTTCTATTTCAATATTAGTCGTATTGTTTCCCGTCTCGTTTGTACATTTTAGTTACCTCTAATAGCATAAATGGAGTATTGCCATATATTTATCATGTAATTTTCATTAAAAAAATCATTCTCACATGCACAATTTAATTTGCTTATCGATAACATATTTTAAACCATGAATCTATGCATAATTACACGCCTATTCTCATAGATCAACCTATACGTAAGGAAGCATATGCAGTGGCCACATATCATCATCATCATCATTAATCACTTCATACTTCATGCTTCACTCAAGTTAGAGCAGCTTTCAAAGTGCCAATGGGAACGAAGAAGCACATTTGAACAGAGCACAGTACACATGCGGTAGTGCACATGAAGTTGAATTTCGATTTAAAGCTTTCGTGACTGCAGGGATTAATCTTCTTGGTTCTTTCGGTAAAGTCACGTAGAAGGGAAATAAAAAAAAACATAATAAAATAATTCTCACGACGTTTCGGCCACAATGCAAGCAGCCGTCCTCAGGTGAAGACCAGGTCTGTCGGGAAGACAGGTCTTCACCTGAGGACGGCTGCTTGCGTTGTGGCCGAAACGTCGTGAGAATTATTTTATAATGTTTTATTTTTATTATTTCCCTTCTACGTGACTTTACCGAAAGAACCAAGAAGACACATGAAGTTGGTTGGAGTCACATATATACACAACCACTTAGTGCACTATTCCGAGTCACGGATCAGCTCTCGCTTGGCCTCTAACATGGCTCAGCTTCGCCTTGAGTCACTCACTTGCGCTCAAGCTTGCATGGGAAGCTCAGCCGTGGCTTGGCTCCGTTGATGTAAATCAACTGAGTGTCTGGGACCATCCTTGGAGCCAGCTCTAATTAAGCATGAGCATGGCTTTGATCCAGTTCACTTGAAGCCAGAGCCGACCCTGAGCCGAACCATGGCTAAGGCTATGGGCCTCGTGCAGTAGCATCCAATTATTTAGCAGCTTAACCTTGGAGCACATGCGCTAAGTCTGGCAAGAAGCAAGCGCTGCACTGTGTTAGTCACATGTCTGTTCTGCCAAGTCAGAGCAAATGCAATTTCACGTGACGTGGAAAATATATACTTGAGATTTGAACTATGTGGCTTGTTTATTTACTTATTTCAGGGGTACCACGGTGGTGTGATGTGATCTTCCTCGCCTGGTATGCAGGAGGTCGGGGGTTCAATCCCGACCCTGACACCAGTATATTTGAAGCTTTGGTCACGTGGATTTTTCTCCGCGTCCTCCGGTTTGATCCCTCCAAATTTAGAAACTTGCATTTAGAGTATTTGGCTGCTATAAATGTTTCCATGATGAGCCACTTCGTGTATGTATGTTGGACTTCTTTCACACGGTATGTAGCCAACTGTGCTAATCAGAGATGCAGGGGAAGTACAACAAACTAAACAAACAAAAATGAGTTTGCTATGTAGCTTTGAAAGTGCACAGCTCCAGCGGATTCCTAATATCGGCAAGAAGAGTGTTCCAGACGGCCGCAGATGCGCACCTTGAAAGCGCGCAACGCGGTGGCCGCTTTAATTCGATGGCCAGCCAAAATCCGCAGCTGCTGCAAGGATGGCCGGAGTTGGTGTGACGATGGTTTGTGCTCTTTGACGAGTTAGGCAGAGAGCCTATCATCTGTGGCGAGTACTTTGTGTCTGCGAAATGTTTCACTAAACGAGCTTGCGCCTGGCACAGTGGTCCCGTACCGCCGCAGCTCAACACTGCTCTGCGTTCTCTCCTTCCCCTACCCCCCCTACCCACGCAGAAGAACGACGGCCAGTTCACGGTGATCCAGCTGGTGGGGATGCTGCGCGGGATCGCGGCCGGCATGAAGTACCTGTCCGACATGAACTACGTGCACCGCGACCTGGCCGCTCGCAACATCCTGGTCAACAGCAACCTGGTGTGCAAGGTGTCCGACTTCGGGCTGTCGCGGGTGCTGGAGGACGACCCCGAGGCCGCATACACCACCCGGGTGAGCAGCGGCGTCGCAGCCCCGCCGGCGTTCGATAGGCGACAGCCGCCGTGCCGTGCGGCCCAACGTATCACGCTCTCCGCGCGCTGCGTCAGGGTATCCGTTCCGGAAGAGGGTCCCGGCGCGACACGAAAACCACGTGGGCCATGTCGCCCGCCTTTCCCTGTTCAAACAGCCAATGGGGTGGGATCGATCTCCATCGGTGACCTTGAGCCATGAGAGGCAATTTTCAAATGTCTATGGAAGGGACCACTCTCTGCGTAGCATAGGACCGGTTGATTTTTTTGTTATTCACTCGAAATGCTCGTCATGGTTGTTGACCGAGAAGGGACGACGGGACGAGCAAAACCCCAGAGGACAATTGTAGCTTTCACCTTTTTCATTGAAAGGTGAGAAAATTGGCAATGTATCACCCTGATGGATTTATGCGTGACATGTGTCATATGTCATGGACATCTGTGAAAGAAGAGCTTCGTAGCTCATAGTATTTCTCCAGGATTAATACAAATTCTGATTCTGATATGGAGGAGGACCATGGGATACCATCCACACAACTGTGGCAGTCAACCGTGCTTACTCGTCAACTATGCGGTCGCGTGATTTTTGTATATGAATTAAAGTATGCCTTACATCATATGCCCTAGTTTGCTGGCCTTCCTCCACCCCGCCGATTAGCACGGTTGGCTACGCTAGGTGTGAAAGAAGTTCAAGTTCAACGTACATACATGCCAGACTGTATCGGGAAATTATATTCTGAATCCAAAGCTCATTGTATAGCTATGGATGTGGTTTCTTGAAAGCACGTGCTTTACAAATTCATGCAATTCAAAGAAGAGGGCACAAGTGGCAAAAGTACAAATGAACCTAATGGGGCATCTGGGTAAAAAGCACCTTCAGGGCATATGGTCAGGGTACAAATATGTGTCACTGTTTAGTCGCTGATGTTAATATTCAACATATGCCACGCAAAATACTCCGCGCCCAACGTGCCACGCATACTTGTCAAATTAGGACCAACGCGGTTTGCACGTGCCGTGCATTATCGATAAAGAGAGAAAACGTTCATGAAAATTCTACCCAGCATCAAAACATACTTACGCGACTTTTATCACTATAGAGAAAACAGCTTTTTTTTTTATCAAAGCCACATTTATAAATATATATTTATACGCACAGTGTGTTTGCTGTGAATAATGACGTATGTATTTTGAACTTCTTTCACACCGTACTGTAGCCAACCGTCCTCATCGGAGGTGCGAGGGAAGGACAACAAACTGAACACACAAAAAGCAGTCCCCCACTTTATTCATTGATGCACAAATAAATCAGGGAGGTCATAATTGTTTGGTACGTCATGAATTGTGCCAAGTCCTCGCATGCTGTGGCCAGCCAGTAATTTACATCTGCTAATAACTTCGTTTTTAAATTGAAAGGCCCACTTAGTGGACTGTGCTGTGCATCTCATTTAATTCAAAGACTCGTGCAGCAAATTACATTCACGGCACCTGGTTGATTTGCTGCGAGACCCCGTCACGGATAATTCAAACACGCAACAGAGAGCGTTGGTAGCAGCATGGGGCACTGGTGCATGCCTAACGAGTCTAAACACAGTGATAAGGGGTGCCTTTTGAGCGCCAATCCAAATCGGTCGAATCGCTAAAATTTTTTTTTTGACAAATTTGCACGCCCCGTGCACTTTGCTAAATTAGACATTTAAGAACCCCGCTTGACTTAAATCACTCCAAGCGGTGGTCGCGTAATTGTAACCGTTTCATGTAAATAGAATGAGAAAAAATTATAAATATATATTTTGTGCGGGCAAAACATTTTCGGGTTCAATTAAATTTCACGAACTTAATGAAGCATCAGGGATTGTACTGACAATGGAAGACATCGCAACGATAACCATTGATGCTGCCTCAGAATGGAAACGCTTATAATAAGATAAAACGTGGGCAGTGATCAATTTTAATTAATCAACTGCCTTCAGATTTCTTTTTTTTTGCAAAGCACCAGGATTGTAATGTTGAGCCTCAAGCTTTCAAGACTGCGTATGATCAGTAAGACATATACGGCGGCTTTCGCGATCATTATTATTCATTCTAGAGGTTTTTACTAATTTTTATATTTGGCCGTGTCGGGTGTTGGCGGGTTTAACGACAGCATTTATATTTACACGATATAACCCAAACCAAAAAAAACCTAACCTCTTGTGGATTAGATGAATGGTGTTTGCAACTCCACTGCTAGATGAAGGCATCTCCACACCACGTCAATCTTGGAGTCTGTTTGATCAGAGTTCAGGCTGGTCAGCGCTGCTCGGTGAAGAGGGGGAAGTTGAGAGAGAAGGGGAGCAGTTCACGTATCACCCATTGCCGATGTTGGCTGTGGCCAGGAATTGAACTCGATCGACCGTGGTAACGGCGCAATGCGTGAACCACTGTCCAGTCACGCCGCCCCCCCTCCCACCCCACTTTCTCGCGTTGCCCGTGTACAAATCACCGTGAATGCATGAAATCCCGGGAGAATTTACAGCCCTGCAAGGTTGAGTTTGGTCAGTCCTTAGATGAGAGATTTTCTGGTAACAGACTTTGGCTGTAATGTGGCCAGAAAATACAAGAACAGCAATGCATTTGAGTGTTACCCCCCCCCCCCCCCCAACTTAAGATGCCTGCTAACTCTGGTTTCCTCCTACTCTTAGTTCTTTCGGTAAAGTCACATAGGTAAAAAAATGAAATAAAAAACACACACTCGTGGGAATTGACCAATCATCGCAATTCCGGACAGCGCTTGAAACAAGTTTCAAAGGGAGCCTTGGTGAGGCTTTCCTGGGTGGCGGTGGTAAGTTAAAAAAAAAACACCATCGCATCGCTGACGATTGTTTACTGTCCCGCGGCGCTGCGTTGCGTGCAGGGAGGGAAAATCCCCATCCGCTGGACGGCCCCGGAGGCGATCGCCTACCGCAAGTTCACGTCTGCGAGCGACGTGTGGAGCTACGGCATCGTCATGTGGGAGGTGATGTCCTACGGCGAGCGGCCCTACTGGGACATGAGCAACCAGGACGTGAGTTCGACCGCCGGACACCTGCCTGGCAGTCATCGCTCTCCTGATTTTATGATGTTATGTCATTCAGAACAAACACGTCGGATGCGTTGTGTTGTACACCCACCCGTTGCGAAATCTGGCTTCGTGCGTTTAGCAGCTCCACCCCCCCCCCCCCCCCCCCGCTGTTATGAGTTTGGATCCAATTTCACTTTTTTGTATTGAACAGAGCCCCCATTCTTGTAGACGGAGTGCTCTTGCCAATACAATCTGGTGAGTTTTAAACACCAATATCATCCATAATGTACTCAAATTGGACACGTGTATTCGCTCTCAAACACACCGGTGTGCTGTACCAGTAACGAATTGGCATGTTCTGTTTACGTGACAAACCTTACTAGTTGGCTGTGTCGGGTGGTGGCAGGTTTAACAACACATTTATATTTACGCGATCTAACAAAAAAAAAATGTTATCTACAATCTGGTGAACCAGCAGCATTTGTTTAACGAACCCGACTCTGCTGATGAGGCCAAGAAGGTCCAAACCAGTCCAGAGTCTGCTTTCTTCAACAAATACCACTGGATAGCATTAGTCTGGACAGGCAAAAGTCTGATGGTCTAAAAAATATGGTATTGTTATGTGGAGACACATGAAAGAAGTGCCTGTATCTCCAAGTTTAAATTTTTCTCTCTGCTTGAGACACTGTGTGTGTGTGTGGGAGCAGTGGAGCACTGCAAACTAAGAAATCTGACTTCAATACCCGATCTTAAATAGTTAATTTTGCACAAATTGGCAGAGCCACTCGATTCATAAATCGAATGTTACGTCTTCAAATTCTGGTTTGCGGAGGTGATCCAGCCAATCATCTCTGCAGATTCTATAAAATTAGTACCATTTGAGGGAAGTTGGAAGGGATTATTCTTCGGAGATACTATCCCACATTAACCTGCGAGGCTTTAAAAGGGCACACCCCACTAAACTTGAAGGAACTAATACATTTATATATTCCATCAGGGTCCTTAACATCTTTTGATCTCCAACTGCTCAGCACTACCAGGTCTAGGTTGTGGGCTTTTCGTGATCGGGCTTTTGTTAGCGTGGCACCCACGCTATGGAACGGAGTCAGTAGATACATTTAAGTCCGCTTTGAAAACCCATTTCTTTAAAGTGGCCTTCCATCTTTAGTTTGGTCGGTTGCCCTGGTTCTGTTTTTGTTTCTTGCTTGTCATGCATCGCGCATTGGGATCATCGGATGGAATGCACATTATGAATTTGAAATATTATTTGTATTATTTTCCCCCACAATGCGAATGCAGAATTGACCCAATGGCATAGGGCCCATCAACAGAGATAGGTACTGTCTCAGTGCTCATTAGGGCATGGTGACACGTTGCATTGTAACACATGGTGACACGTTGCATTTGTAAAACATGGTGACACGTTGCATTGTAACACAGCGTGATAAGTACTGCCACGGGATCCTCCCAATACACAAACCTATATTATGTCAGTGTCAGACTGCTCATAATTCACTTATTGCATATGCGAGTATTTGTGCGAGTGTGTATATATATGTGCAGTGGGGTGTGGTAGTATGGTGGTTAGTGCACTGTGCTACGAACTGAGCAACCAGAGTTAAATTCCTGCTAACAGCCAACATCACCAATGAATATCTGAACCGGTCACTGGGGCTCCCTTAGGTCAACACAGCCTTAAATGAGTAGCCGGTGCAGTGTGTAAATATTGCCACGAGGAAGACAAAGTGGCCGGGCGTGATGCTAGCCACTCGCCCCCTCGTGTGCCGTGCCGGCCTTCATAGGTGCTCGCTAACAGCACTTGCCCCAACAATCTGTTTAGGCTGCACAGGCAATCTTTGTATTTGTATATGTTCATACAAGTATACATACTATACATGCATATGTATAAAATTCAAGAGGACAAATATATTATAAGCAGACTGTGACAGCTGGTTCTTTGATTCAAAGAAATGAAAGCAGAAATCTCTTGCTTTGCTTTGATGCACCACTGAAAATGACCTTGACTAGATATTGAATGAAAACAAAAATCTCACCCTTGAGATGCAGTGCACAACAACGCCACTCATTACGGCGCGGATGGCTGTAACGTTTGAAAAAATAATCCATGTGAGAGGGCGATATGAGATGCTTCCCAACATAGCACGTTTTCAAATCGCATTTCACAAGAAAGAGTTTTCTGTCGCCTTCCCAAAATCATTTCCCATCGCTACGTTACACGTGTAAGTAGGATACACAGAACTATCATCCTAGAGTCTACTTTAGGACGCAATAATAATAGAGGCTTCGGCAATTGCTGAGGGCGTGGCCCTGTAAGATGTATGAATATTGTGCCGTTCGTAAAAAAATATACCGGGCCAAGTGGTGCTACGATAAGACTGCCCGTACTGCAATGGGAAGGTTACGAGTTTAAATCCTAAGTCAGTCGTCGACTCAACCAATCATTCCTCTGGCGTCGCTAAAATAAATGCCACTTTGGGAATTCAAGTATGGTTTTAATCGAAACAACTGACGCTTGCCATAATGACATGTAATTTCCACCAACGGCTTGTCAGTGGAGATGAGTAGTGCTTAGTGCTTGCTTAAGCATGAGAAGTCTTTCGTGGTATAAATATATACACTGTACAGTACATATATATAAAAGTATACATGATAAATATTTTAATATATATGCTGAATATTTTTTTATAGACGTTTTTCGTGATTTGTTTGATAAAAGGTATTGTTAAAGGTGCAGCCCAGCAATTGCACGCTCAATCCACAGCTGGCAGAAAGCCCTCCATGGGGAACGGCTCTATCGGCCTCCCCTTCCACAATGCCCAGGTGTCTTGAAAGAGGAGGGCATACCCACACTTTACCCCACCACAGGCGAGCTGCCCATAAACTGACCGTGGTCGACCCGTCCACGTGTTATTGCGTATTGTATCGCCAACGGACAAGGAGAGACCCTCGAATTGAGTCCACGTAAATTGTGACGGACTAAAATGAGTACGAAGGGTAATTGCTCCTTGGTTGGAGGTCGTAACCAATCACAGACGCTTTTCACAGCTTAATAACAGCTTACAATTTTAAAACATCTCACCCCCATTTAAGTACGCAGTACAATGGCCAACCATTCGGCATTGTCCGTGTTAATTAGGCTGCGAGCTTTTGTGAATATTCAAAAGCACGTTATGAATGGCGCAGATCCCCGAATGTCAGGTTCACAATGGAGAGGGAGTGTGTGCACAGGAGGTGCTTTCTGAACCCATCTGTGAGCGCGGAATAACAGCGTACCGTGTTAAGTACTCTAATGGAAAAGTTTACATAATTCATTTGCGGCGACTGCACATTTTAACGTCTACCTGTTTCCCTCCTTGCAACAGCAAGGTTGCGATGTGGCATTCTGCAGACTTAAACTGTCGAGCGATGCTCGACGTCGGCTGCGTTAGTTGAGCTGCAAAGTCGTTTCGGCCCAGCTTGACCCAAGTGCTCAGCTGTCGACACACTTATCAGTGTTGCCTCTAACTTATTAAAGACCAATTCAGACCTCATTGGCCAACACTCGTCCTACGCAGTCCCATCACAAGGGAGAAACACAAACAAATAGACGAAAAAACGTTGCCCGTATTGAAACCGCTGTATGCCGTAAGGACCTAAAAACTCAATTTCCATGTACAGGAATACGGGATGAATCCGTATGGGTTCGTAGGTATGGAAGTGAGTCATTCAAAGACAATATGGCACACAACTAGCTGGGGTTAACGAATGCACAGCGTCACACATATGAGAGACGTCATCGCGGACCTTTGTTAAAGATCGTAAATGCTTGCCTCATCTTTCCCAATGACATACATGAGAGATAATGAAAACAAGCACTCGTGACTGCTTAAATGCACGTGCTATCAGATCAGATTCTGTAAATTGAAAAGAGTGAATATCAAGTACCATTTTGCTTGGCCTTTGTGGAATTTTAAAATGCATTGACTGGGTAGAAATTGATACAGCCAAGGCCGAAATAAAAAAAAAACGCACATGAAGGAATGACTAAAAAAAAACCTTTGACAAGAATGGAATAGCTACAGTGTCTCTAAGGAACAAAATAGAACACATTTGAGAAACGGAGGCGGATAAGGATCTATGTTGTCGCCAAATGTATCAGCAGTTACTTGAGAAGACGTTTATGCAAACAATTCGACTGGAGAACCAAACGCAAACATATGTTGTGTGTGCTCTGAAGAAGGGCCATTTCCTGATATGTTCCCAATCACATATTTTTTTTCATTTTCAGACCATAGTGTTATGGACGAATGTTTTGAGTTTTCTTTGATATTCTTTGTATGTATTCATTCAGATGCTTGAATAACAGCAGTTGTTTGGATAATAATCGGTATGCGGATAAGAGGAGCTACAACGTAACCCTATTGTTTACTTACCCTGGCAAAAATAATACTTTTCATGAACTTCCTCATCGCCCATTCGACACGTACACTATACATGTACAACCGCACGTGATTGTAAAGTCCAACCGTAATTGTTGCTGGTCAGTCACGCATTGGGCCACTCTTTCCACACGTTGGTTGCTCGAGCAATCTCTGTACATATTCTTGTTTTTTTTAAGCCACAGTGTTCTCTCTCTCCCTTCTCTTTGTCCTGTGCCTAGAGCATCCGTGCTTTGAGAAGTAAGAAAGGTTCACAGGACACTCGTGCTGCCTGTACACGGAGTGCTGTCGCTGTCAAACATAGTTGGGGTGGGGGGGATATACACAAGCGAGTTGAAAGAGAGTTTCCTTTGAATGGAAGCTGGTAAAACAGGCAGTGGGAAAAATATTTTAACGATGAAAATAAAACTAAATATTTGGCTTTTTTTGTGCTGATTAGCCCATACATGGATACCACAACTTTCAAAGTTCTTTTCATGCTGCCTTTTTATTCGCTTATTAAAACAAAAAAGTTATCATTCGTGTTATTGTGTTGGAGTTTGGGGTAGTGCTGCGCATAGCTGAAATGTACATTGTGGCTGGTGTTTTATACTTCGCTGTAGCTTAATTGCTACTACTAACAGCAGAGTTAGGTTGCTTGCACAAGCGAGGTAAAATTGTCGAATGAATATTATAGCATGCTGTGTTATGACAAAAATATGCTCATCATCATCTGCAGCCAAACATTTAGCATCACAAACTTGCAACATTAGTTATGAACTATTTAGTAATCGCCTCCCATAGAAACACATATCTTCACCAACCTTCACCAGTCTACTAAGGGAAATTATAGATACATGCACACACATGTGAGACAAAGACCAAAGACCCCCCGTATAGTCTTAACAGACTGTAGGGGCAAGTGCTGTTAGCGAGCACCTATGAAGGCCGGAATGGTACACGAGGGGGTGGGTGGCCAGCATCACGCCCGACCGCCTTTGTCTCCCTAGCGGCGATGTTTACACACCGCACCAGGTACCCATTTGAGGCTGAGTCGACCTAGGGGAGGCTCAGGACCGGTTCAGATAATCGTCACTGGTGTTTGCCGTGAGCGGGAATCGAACCCGGGTCGCCAGGTTCGTAGTACAATGCGCTAACCACTACACTACCGCTCTCTCTCTATAAATATAATCACACGCGTACATGCACAATGTCTCCTGGTGGCAGTGTTGCGGACCACCTTGGCTCACAATGGAAAGAGTTTAAGTTAAAATCCCATCTGGAAATCGACACAGACTGATAAGCCCCTTCAGTGTCAACACAACGGATAGGACATCTTTTGATTTAACAACAGAATATTGCGATACTAATCTTCCTGAAAGTGTGACCTGGAACAATATATAAAATGTACATCAGTAGGGGATTTAACAACTGTTTGAAAATTAACATTGAAAGGGCACGTACCGTGGCCCACTGTGGGGCTTCGTCAATGTATTCCTCCTCAGTTGCTGATGTTCAACATTGTGCCAGCTACTCGTATGGAGCCGAGATAACCTAGGGGATATCCAGGACAGGCTTTAAAAAAAAAAAACATGTATTATTGATGTGAATGGCTGGGAATCCCAGCGAGGTCACTGTGATCTTAGCACAGTGTGCTAACCAATGTTTCAACATGAGCACACGTGCACAAGACAAAGACAAAGATACCCCGTATAGACTTCACAGACCTTTTTGGGCAGGTGCTCTTAGCGAGCACCACCTGTACGGCACACGAGGGGGTGGGTTGGCCAACACCACGCCTGGTCACCTTTGTCTCCCTAGTAGCGATGTTGGCAACACTGCACCAGATACTCATTTGAGGCTGCGTCGACCTAGGGGATTCCCAAGTCACTGGGTAACCCTCGTGGAATGCACTAATCGCTACACTACCGCTTCCAAACACACACACCCCAACGAAGTTGTGAATGCCATGGAGACAAAATATACACCAATAACAAAAAGGCAGCGCTCGAGTTTGCTCTCGACAATGGCGAATGGCAATCTTTGAATCAACAAAAAAAACCCGCGCAAGAAATGTCTCTTGTTTGTTTATTTATACAAATTCTCAAACATGCTCATGGAAGCAAAAGCAAACTCGTTGTGTCCGTGCACATTCGCAAATATAATATAAAGAAGGACACGTAAAAGCTCACGTTATGAATGAAGGACTAGCAAAAAGAAAAAAAACTGATGATGGATTGGTAGGTGGTCATTTTTTTACCATTCATCGCTGCTTTCCCAAGCCACGATCATTGTTGTTCTGTATCCTGCCTCAGTTTCCCCGTATTTTCCACTCGCCGTTTATCAACAGTGTTAAGCATTCTCTCTCACACACACACACGACAACTTCCTCTGAGGTGCTGCTATAAAATACTGGGACGTTAAGCCTTCCCACCTCGTATTCTTTGGTTCTTTCGGTAAAGTCACGTAGATAGAAAAATAATAATAAATTAAGTGAATAAAAAAAATATTTTATTTGTATAAAAAGTGAATAAAATAATCAATAATAAAAGACTTTTTATATATCTTTTTTTCACTTCATTTTTTATTATTATTATTATTATTTTTCTATCTATGTGACTTTCCCAAAAAGAACCAATGAATATGAATTCCTGCATTCACTAATTTTTAAGTCAAAACTTCCCACCTCAACCTCGCACCGCCGGCATCATTCCTAGTTGTTGAGTGGTCAAGTCCCGTGCTGGATGCACATCATTGGCTGCCAATACGACATGAGGACAATTAATGAGTGCAACATAATTGCATCACGTGACCTCAGACGGTCGTGAAGCCTCCTATCCAGTTATGGAAATTGCACGTTCCAATGGCAGGGGCTAGCGTTTCCAGAAGATAGCCGCCATTAACGGCTAACAAACAAAGTGACGCTTGCTTATACACACAGGAGGAATGAGGCACTGATCTATCTCCCACGGTGGATTTGAACCCACATCCTCCAAGTGCCATAACCACAATCGATGCTCGAACCGCAACATCACCCGGCTGGATACTTTCATTCTTGATTTGAAGCTTTCGTGACTGCAGGAATGTCCCACCTGATGACGGACGCTTGTGTTGCGCCCGAAACATCGTGATCTATTTAATTTTATTTTATACCTACGTGACTTTACCGAAAGAACCAAAGAGTATGGATACTTTCATGTTGAGGCAGGCATACTCGAGCAACGATCTAGGTTTGATACCTGCGCAAGGCTGTTGAAAGCATTGGCAATGTATCTCTATTCATTGTTCTCTCTTACCAAAGTGGGTATGTTTAGGTTTCCATTTGCCGCACGGTATATTCTACTTTTGGGTGGAGGGGTTGTGACATTCTGTAACACTTGACGCCATGAACCTCCGTGCGTTCTGGTATCTGCGTGTTCCACTTTGTGTCTCTCGGGTGATAATTCCAGGCATGCTTGTTTGCACACTTTTTATACGCCACAGTGGCGAGATGTTAATCACCTCGCCTGGTATGCAGGAGGCCGTGGGTTCCATCCCGACCCTGACGCCTGTATATTTGGAGTTTGCACGTTCGCTCTCCCCATTGCCGCGTGGATTTTTCTTCAGCTCCATCCAGTTTTTCCCTTCACATTTTGAGCGCTCGTTTAGAGTATTTGGTTGCTATAAATGTCCACATGATAAGCCACTTCGTTAAGCTATTATTTGTGGCGAGGTGACTTCTGAAACAAATCTGTATAGCTCAGTGGGCCTTACCTGGTAAAAATAAAAAGTGTTAAAGAAAATATCTAAATCGACCTGACGCCTTGCAGAGAAGTTATCGAGGGGTATAGCGACGACGTTCGAGCTGACGATGCCCCCGTGTGCCCGTGCCCCCAGGCGATCTAGGAGGGCTACCGGCTACCACTCCATTCATACTTTTCACCATCATCCCTTCTCGTGGCGTGTCCTGCCCAAGCCCACATACTCTTGCGAACAGTTTGAAACGATGCCATTAACCCCACGTGCGTTCTGGCATTGCACGTGCTCCACTTTCTGTCTCTCTCAGCGGTACCTCCAGGCGTCCTTCTTCTTTCTCACCGCGCGCTTTTCACGCGAACGTAAATCGACCTGACGCCTTGCAGAGAAGTTATCGAGGGGGGTTTTTAGCGACGACATTTCGAGCTGCTGACGATGTCCCCCGCACGCCCCGCAGGTGATCAAGGCGATCGAGGAGGGCTACCGGCTGCCGGCGCCCATGGACTGCCCCCTGCCGCTCCACCAGCTCATGCTCGACTGCTGGCAGAAGGAGCGCTCCGACCGGCCCAAGTTCGGCCAGATCGTCGGCATTCTCGACAAGATGATTCGCAACCCCAACGTCCTCAAGACGTCCGCGTCTGGAGAGGTCACGACCAGGTGTGTTGGGTGACGCGGCGGTGCGACGGACAGGGTTCGGAGAGTAACTTAAAAAAAAAAGTCAGCCCGGCTCTCTCTGTCTCTCTCAATACGAATACTTTGAACGTATAGAAGTAGTGTGATGGAATAACAATGTTTTCTTATTATTTCCAAATTAACAATCAGATTTACTTGCATGCCTTTGCATTCGGATAAAACGTACGGCCAACGTGCACGGGGTTGCTGCTTTTCTCTTAATCGCGCGTGCTTCCGATTAACTAATTTCCTCATTTTAGTTGCCGCTGGCATCAATCTCGAGCAAAAAGTAAAACGACTATGCAAGTTATCAGCTTCTAAATGCTAAGTCATCTCCGATTGCACACTTCAAATGGAGTAATCTAAGGATATTATTGTTATTTGCCCTTTGTAATTCGATTACAGCCATTGCATTCAGTACTTGTTACTTTCCAATGCTGGTGTTTTGGCATTTCGCAATCATCAAAAGATCTATCTGTAAAGCACTCACAATGCTGAATGCCGCTTGCTGGCACAGTACCTTAATTTAGGACCTAATAGCTGATGGCTTTACACTTCCTGGCTCTTTACTCCAAACAGGGATACAGCGAGGCTTACCGTGAAATATCCTTCGCTAAAAAAACATTGACTACGATAAGGGAAACACATGTTAGATAGATAAATATTATCACGAAACATTTTCTACATTTCTGTGCGTGCTGAAAATGTTTAATTCGACATTAGTTGCATATACTCTGAACTCATGTGTTCGATTCCCACTCACGATCAACACAAGTGACTATTATCCGAACCGGTCTTGGGCCTCTCATATTTTGACTCAGCCTCAAACGAATACCAGGTGTGGCGTGTAAACATCGCCACAAGGGAGACAAAGGTGGCCAGGCATTGTATAGGCCACACACACTCTCGTGTGCCGTGCCGGACTTCATAGATGCTCGCTTACAGCACTTGCCACCTACAGTGTGTTGAGGCTATACGGGTGACCTTTGTGACAACGCGTGGATTTTCTGCATTGGCCACGTTGCTTGCTCATTTGCCATGCTGGCCTTAGATTATCGCTAATGGCACTCACCCATCGAGTCTATAATGCCAAGTGGGGAATATTTATATGTATGTGTTTTCATGACAAGTACTCGAGTTTAAATATCCACAATTTAAGCTGCATGCATGTACTTTCGTCCAGTATTTTAGATATTTAAGGACAGTGTGCTTGTGCTTTTGAATGAAATGCTAAATATTTCAAGACTGTCTGCCAGATGGAGTCACATGTACGTGTTATTTTTTACGTAAAATTGTAATTGTCATGTGTCCCAGCCCAGACAATAATGCTGATAATACCCGTGTAACTTCTCTGTTGCAACATATTAGATTTATTCAAAGAAATTGCTGTGTAGCTTTGCCCTGCAAGATAATATATTGATTTGAGGCCCATTTTTTTTTACATTTGCAATGATGCGTGTGAGTTTAAGTCCCCCGCTATTGATTGTGTGATTATTATTATTTTATTGGTCTCAGGTGAATACGCCACACTGTTGAATAGATCAGCTGACTATTAAAATAATCATCCAAAAAATGTTGCCAATTCCCAGTTCGTGGGAGTAGAGGAAAAAGGTCATTTGCAGATTTTAATTAAGATAAGGCTGAACATTTTTTTGTTTTATGCCTGTAATCATTGAAAAAATTCACGGCATTCCAATTAATGGGGTTATTACTTTGGAGTATATAATTCGAGCTGATAATGCTGCAGGCTAATAAAATAAAAACATTTTCACAGCAATCCCAGTGCAGTCATACGTTTATTTAGTTTGAACAAAGTTATTTATATTTTATGAGTATAATGCTGTACAAGACGAGTGTTACAATGGCATCATACGCATGTATGATGCAAATGTTTGAACTTTTCAAGGTGGTGAGAAAACTTTTACATTATTTGGTGATGCTAAATTGGCAGCGGTGCACACGCCCAATTAACATTCCTCAATAACGCCGTGACCTTAAAAGGAAACGTTAATAATCAGCAACATTTTGGGAAATGCCCCTTCTTCATAGTACAATAAAGTGGGGACATTTTTGTTTTGTTTCCCAAAACGTTGACTTATAAATATACTATAAGGCAGTGTTTTTGAAGAATGTGCTGAGTTTTTGTTTTACTACTTGACTCCTCAACCTATGGTGACATCCCTGCAGATTCAATGCCACGAGTTAAACTTCGTGGGAAAGTCAGCCGTGGTCATCCAAAGGAAAAGTTGGCCCCTTCCATAGGAATGTGGAATTTCCGCCACTTGTCCACCAAGAGAAATGAACCATTGCTCATTTTAGTAGGAGGACCACTTTGACTCTTTGAGATGTGAGAATATGTTGACAATTCTCGAGATGACCTGGTGACTCAAGGGTCAGTGCACCGAGTTGGTAGAGCCACATATTAATTTGGGTTACGAAATGCAGCGTGGTCGCATCTTGATCAAATAAAATGTGGGTTTCACGTAATTAGGCAACTCACTTCAGATCTGAGAATTAAAATCATAACAGTTGGACTCGCACATGATGAGCATATCTTTGCAGTAGGTCATATGGGAACGTGTGCCCCCTGATGTGCAGATGAAAAAGAGATAATTTGAAGGGATGACACTTAGTCTGGGAGTTCTGAACGAATAAGTTATCTCATGACACGAGCAGTACAACTGACATAAAATAGGGGGGAAATATTAATATAATGAACAAAACTGTGACAACTAGATACTTACAGTAACCCAAGGAGGGGTTCGTTAATTACATGACCTTAATAAAAGAAATTTGTCTAAATTCTAGTTGTTTTATTTTACACTGTAACTTTATAGTAGAATTTAAAAATATATATTACATCAAATGTCTTTCAAAAGGAGTATTCAATGTACCACTGGACGTATACACAATAGACCGATTCAGTTTACCCGATACTTGCAAGGCTCCAGTTTAACAAAACCCAAAGCTTAAGCCAGATAACACTTGGGATACGTGAGAGCAACTTCAGAACGGGGCTTGTATTTTAACTCTCGTGGCAGCTTCCAGCTGTTATGCTTTATTAACTTTCTTTAACGTCGTGGGGGGCAGTTGACCGGTAACTTTCATGTGTTCATGTCGGTCAAGATTTGGCGAATCAGCTTCAGCAGCAGCCTGGTATTATAGCCGAAGCGACGTTTTTTCAATGAATCGCAGCAGTGGCGTTAGATCGGTGACCGCGTTTGCAATGAGGTGGCCTGCATCGGCCGCGCGATGTTCTTCTGCCGTTCAATACGCCGGTGCTACATCGACGCTTGCTCCACTGTTGCGCTGTCCAGGTCTTCCAACTCCCTGCTGGACCAGAGCATCCCAGACTTTGGTTCATTCCGCTCGGTGGAGGAGTGGCTTGATGCCATCAAGATGGGTCGCTACAAGGACAACTTTGCCTCTGCAGGGTACACGTCCCTTGAGCAAATGGTCCAACTGGACTCCGAGTGAGTATAGCACCCTTCTCCATGACCAGAGAAAGAGTCGTTCCTCTCTCTCTGTCTCTCTGTCTCTTGATTGATGTTTTGTAAAATTGTTCACGGTTGTAAGCACTTCTGAATTAGCTCTGTCCATCTGTTCGTGTCCAGGGGGTCACGATAACTCTCGTGAAGATGATACAATGCCAACGAAAGTTTAGTGCAAATTTGTTGTGCTATTAGGGGCATATCCCGTTGAAAATCGGATGGATTGATCGCAGGGTTGCCTTAAACTAAACAAAAACAACAAGAATAAATAAGCAGTGCAAAAACGATTCCCTCCTGGCATTTGCAATGCCATAATTGCGTGTGACATCATTTCGTTGTGTGACCTGACAGGTATCATTATATCCAATTACTTCAGAGGACAGATCCAGATTAGAAATGGTTATACATGCCATGCGAATGTATCATTATTCTTCCCCTTTGTTTTAGCTCTATTATCATCATCATCATCATTATTTCTCTCATGCATATGAGGAAAAGTTTTTGTTTTCCCTCAGAGCAAGAATAGGTCGCATATGAAAAAAAACGACCGGAGAAGTAGCGCGGTGAAGTATGGTCACCACGTTGGACAGTTGCTGAGGTGTCTAGCAGTCCATTGACAAAGATTTGAACTTTGATTTAAAGCTTTCGTGACTGCAGGGATTCATATTCTTGGTTCTTTCGGTAAAGTCACGTAGAAGGGAGATAATAAAAGAATATAAATATAAAACAATACAAAATTTCACGAAGTTTTTTTTTTGCTGTGGATTTCACACCTGATGATGATTGCTTGTGTTGCAGTCGAAACGTCGTGAGAATTTGTATTGTTTTATATAAATATTATTTCATTATTTCCCTTCTACGTGACTTTACCGAAAGAACCAAGAATATAAAGATTTGAACGTTATTACGTATTTCACTAGTAATTACCTCCGTTTACGTGTGCGATTCCATGGCATTTTACTTTAGTCACACACGCGCACATAGATGATTGTGCAGAAACCCAACCACAGTGACATCCCCAGCGGAGAGGTTATAGATCCTTCATGATGTGGAATGAAGGTCAATAGACCTGCACTGCATAAAGAAAGACAAATAAAGAATAGGCTAAGCCAACATTGCCGGTCAATGTACTTAAGCCTCCCAACTGAAGCGCTCCAGGTTTTGTGTAGAAATTGTGTATTTTTCTAGGAACTTTTCGCAGTATGGCAATTACACCTTTTGTTATGTCGCGGTGAAAATCGTTGGAAAAATAACGCCCCGTTCTGAGCATCCAACGACTAATAACGGTAATATCAACAGAAAGGATTCCGTGAAAAAACACGCCGTCTGTTAGTTTTACAGCGGTGTGCGACAATGTTTTGCCTCCCGTGTCACATTTTCTCTATAAACACTGTCTTTAGAAAAAGAAAAAGGATATTGGAAAAACGTCGCATTACAGGGGACCCTCCTGATAAAAGGATGAAATGTCGTGAGACTCCCCGAGCCTTTCCTGTATTTTTATGAAAAATAATAAAGAGAGTCACAACGTGAGTGGAGCATTTTCAAGAATCGCGTGCAAAGGGGTGGGTGAGTGGGGCAGGTTTTCCCAAACTACAACCACCGCTGACTTCCAATAAAGTTGAATTTTTCTTGTTATATCGACCTCAGAGAGATTTCACGAGAGACACGTTTCACACTAATAATAAAGATGAGCCGAGCCCCCCCCCCCCTAAACCGGCATTTCGAACTCGCGACCTCCCCATTGCAAACTCGTGAACCCAAACATCTGCGTCACCCCTCTGGATAATTACACACAGATGGGTGTCGCTATTATTTTAGTTTTATATGCTGGGTGCTACCGTGGTGCAACGAGATGTCTGACCAACTTGGAAGAGTAGGCCAATATACCCCTCCATTGGCTTCCTAGAGCTCCCTCCAGTGGAGGCCCTTCCGCCAGCGGTGGCGTGAGGTGTGCGAACGCAGGGCGTCACCTTTAAACCCTTTTGTTATTTTGCTGCTATGTATTACGATTGTCATCGTCGTCGTCATTAAAAGCCATTGCGGGTTTGGTGACGGCCACTCGTGTTAAAGAGAGGCAGGGACCACCTCGGGTTGGATAAGCAGTGCACTGACGTGTCCGCTGCGTCGTGTCCGTTGTCGTTGCAGTGACATCGTGAGAATAGGCATCACGCTCATCGGGCACCAGAAGAAGATCCTGAGCAGCGTTCAGAGCATGAAGGCGGACCTCGTGCAATTGCACAACCAGGGAGTGCACGTGTGAGATTGACCCAGCTGCCTAAACACAAGGCCCTCCCCGTCCACCGCGCGCTATTTTGAGACGGCCAAAACTTTTTTTGTTGTTGCTGTTTCATTTGTTTGGGTCATCCGGGAACGGTGAAGGAGCTCGGCGCGGAGAGGGGAGCTGTGGATTTGTGTGGGTGTTTGGGGGGGGGGGGTCCATGGGGGGTGGAGGCGGGAGGCACAGTGAGAGAGCGAGAGAAGGGGCAGGACAGAAAGACCGTTGCTTGCAGGTTTGTACGACGTGCGTGCATGTGTGTGCATCTTTGATATACGTACGCGTAGAGCGGTAGTGCAATGGTTAGTACACTGCGCTACAATGCTGGGCGACCAGGGTTTTATTCAGTCATGGATGACAGCAATGGTACACGCTACATGAAATGGCCATGGCCCTTCGCTAGGTTGAGACAACCTTAATTGAGTACTTGCTGCAGTGCATAAACATCGACACTGGGGAGACAAAGGCAGCCAGGAATGGCTCCTTGCTACACCGCCCCTTTGTATGCCATGCCGAGCTATAGTGTGTGCTCGCTAATAGCACTTGCTTCTACAGCCTGTAAGGCGAAATGGAGGCTATTTTTGTCTTTGTATGCGCGTGCGTATATACGTATATACATATATACGATGTGTGTGAGTGTGTGTGTTGGGAGCGGTAGTGTAGCGGTTAGCATGCTACGCTACGAATCCGGGGACCTGAGTTTGATTCACGACAAACACCCAGTGACGATTATCTGAACCGGTCCTGGGCTTTGCCCAGCTCGACTCAGCCTCAGATGAGTATCTGGTGCGGTGTGTAAACATCGCCACTGGGGAGACAAAGGCGGCCAGGCGTGGTGCTGGCCACCCACCCCCTCGTGTGTCGTGGTGGCCTTCATAGGTGCTAGCGAACATCACTTGCCCCAACAGTCTGTTAAGGCGATAGTGGAGGGGGGGGGGTCTTTGTCTTGTACTGTAAATACACGTGGTGAGAGATGTGGATGTGTGGTCAGGTTACATACAGAGAGAAAAACTATATACAGAAAGGGAGAACGTGCGTGCCTCTCCGAGCCCTGGATTCATGAAGTCCAGAGCACTCCGCCTCCCGACAACACAAAACAAATCCCGTCCGGCCACAAACACATCCTCCTCCTCCGCCGCTTCCTTGATGCGACCAGAAATTCGGTTTAAAACATCGGCCTGCGTGCTTCGAATGGCTACACCCAGACCCGTAAATAATAACAAAGCGGAATCAAACAGAGTTGCCGTCGAGTTGAATGGGAAGTCAAATTTGCCGCCGCGAGCCCAAGCTTTATAAAACAAAAAGAAAATCTATACACGGTTTCAATTTCGTGTGTTAACATCTTAACACCTGTTTTATTGCCAGAAAGGGTACAACTTATTCCTATACTATGGGGACCTCATTTGCCAGTAAAAATATGATAATTGGTTCTTTACCCTTCTATCTGGCAACAAAACTGACACCTTTTTGCAAGGAGTCATGTTTGCATAGACCGCAATACCTGCAGTCATAATACAAACAAAAGAACATAACTCTGATAATGTGCACTGTCCTTGAAGTTGATGTCTCGGGTGTGGACCAATCAACTTCAACTTCAAGGACAGTGCACATTATCAGAGTTATGTTCTTTTGTTTGTATTATGACTGCAGGTATTGCGGTCTATGCAAACATGACTCCTTGCAGAAAGGTGTCAGTTTTGTTGCCAGATAGAAGGGTAAAGAACCAATTATCAACTTATTCTTATATTTTGATACTGGCAAGGGAGGTCCCATGATGAAAACAGAAAATAATTGGCATTGGCGCTCATCTTCATTGGGCAGCCCCTGAAATTCCACGTTCCCATGGCTGGTCCCTGTATAATCACACGACGGTCAGCGGTTGTCTTGCTGCAAAACGATGTCCATTTTAATCAACGCAGAAGTCAGCCATCGGCCACAATCTTGCGGTGTGACCCACCGTTAAAAGCTGAACAGAATGAGTAACGACGGCGATCTGCTGCCGTCTGTCGTACATTCTGCCCTGAGTCTCACCCCCCCCCCCCCCCCACCGTGTATACAAACAAAGGCTGCTAGACACCCGGGCGCTCAATTCGACTCATTTCCTACCAACATCTTTTTACTTGGCAACAAGATTTTACAAGGGGGGCTGAGCCCCCCTCTAGCCTTATCCACCCCTTTGCTCCTGCGCTCACGCCGTCAAACTCAAAAGTGAATCGACATGTGTTGCAATATTAATGACGGGAGCTTGCAAAAATTTAAGCAATATTTCAGCATCCATTTGTGCAAACTGCTGCGTGGTGTTCTCTGAAAAGAAGTGTACGTGAATACTAGGACCATCGCTACCGTCATTTTTCAATGACCTCAATTTGAATGCCTTCAATGTATGAAGTAAATGAAAAAAACACTCCCTTTTCGATGTAAGGTAAAGATCAAATTCACATTCACCGTTTCCCGTTCTGAGACGTCCTGACGTTGCAGGGTGGGTGTCCCGTTCACCGCTGAATCTCAGAATGTGCAAGCGTGTCGGAGATAATTGTATTTAGAGATGCAATAGCACCGTTGTTTTTAAAGACATTGGACTCACCCCCGACAAGCGTAGCAACACGACCACGCTCTACGATAGCTGGCGGCAAGCCGTGCCGCGTGACCTACCGCATGGCCTTGTCGGAGCCTCGGTACGTCTTCCGATCTGAGCATGAGCAAAGGTACGTCTTCCGACCTGAAGACGTACCGACAGTTATTTAATTTCAGTTTTTCTTCCGATTCCGTTCCAATGACGTACGCATACGTCATTGGAAATGGAAAAGGGTTAACTACCAATCACCATCATCATCATCATCTACACGGCCAGCCGGTGAAATCAACTGGTGCTCCATTTCCAACGAATTTCTTTCAAATCCCGCTTTTGTTTTGTATCATAAATGTGTACATAGTGTATCATTTTTAAAGGCAGATCTCTTTAACCCACGTGTCGTTGTTAGAGACGTTCTTTTTGCTTTGAATTAAATGGATAACAAAATGTTTCGTGGGCCTACCGTAGGCATCTAAGATGCCACTCTACTGCCTCTCGACAACCCGGGTTGTTTTTGGGAGGTCCCGAATGCCGTTTGTCGAAACTTCCCTCCGACGTGTTTTGCAATCATCGACTGATCTGCATCGCAGCTAAGCTTATCACGCACGCCACACTTAACCGGGTACGCTCTAGAGGTGGGTATCACATCTGTAAAAAGTAAAATAGATTGCCGCAGCTCAGGCGCAATCCAACAGCAAGCCTGTGGAACTTGTGAACATAATGAAAGTGATATGAAATAAATACAAATGTAAAGCGTAGGCATGTACTGTATTAACTCTCATGAACTTAAAATCCTCATACGTGGCTGAAAAATGTAAATGTTTGCGTGTTGTTTTCCAATGTACAGAGTTTTATTTTATCTCTTTGTATATTCCCTAATGCTCTTGATAGCCTGGATGGATGGGGAACCTAACACTATGTGTTCTTTGCGGATTTGACTGTTTACAACGATGGACTTGTTAAACGCGCAGAATTGCAATTTATTTATTTAAGTTGAATCAATTGAAAAGAAAATGGAAAAAATTAAAAAAGTTGTTTCCTCGTTAGTTTACTTTCTTTTGTTAATTTGAGGTATAGTTTTTTTTTTCATTTTATGAAGAACAAAGCCATTTTTACGCGTGCGATTCTGTTATAGATTTGTCAGAAGTGCCCATCTCTATTTTGTTTGCATCCAATTTAAAGATGAAAAATAAAGCGGTACATGAAATAGTGATATCATTGTCAATGTCCTTTCTTATTGTTGTTACTATTATTACATACATATGTATTTTTAAACTCGGGAAGACAATGGTGGCGCAGTGGGTTATCGCACTGCGCTATAACCTCGCGACTTGAATTGCATCCTAACAAATGGCTAACATTCGTGACAAGTTATATCTGAACGCCTCCCTTCTTCGAATCGGCATTGACCACATTGGTGATGTATGGTCAAATAACCACCATCACTAACACAGGAGGATTGGGGGGGGGCGTCTGTGGATTGACATGGCTGTAAAATATAAATTACCTTAATTGTTAAGCTGTAATGTATTGCAGACACTATTCAAGGTCCACATTGTCTCCCTGCTCAAACAAGAAAATGGGTCAGCACTCACATCAGCTGACGTTTCTGAGCCACCAGCGTAAATTCTGCATTATGGCACGCTTATTTATTTACCGAGGAAAGCCAATCTTAGTCAAAAACAGTTTTCCAGGGTGATCGTACATTGGGATGTCGGGGCCAACACCAATTTTATCGGGTGTGTTTGTAGCTATGGCAGGGAACCAGCGACCCTGAAGGCAACTCATGCAAAACCAAGGGGGGAATGTAAACTTCACGTAGAAAGGTGCCCGAGTCCGGAATCGAACTCAGATGCTTCTTGTTATGAGGGAAAAGCGTTACCCAGTGCAGCACCCTGCCACCACAATGGTGAGAGCAGTACAACCATGGTGCAAGTGACCTCACGTACTCTGATGTATTAAAATGAGACTTGCTTTCACATGATGGATGTGTTTTTTTTAACTGCTTTGTATTATAATGGTACTCAAAATAAACACCCGGCTCCTTTCGCAACCCCTGCTGCAAAAACACTCATGCTAACTCTGAGCTGTCCCACTGGGACGTGAGATTAAATTAGATTCATTTCACAGACAATTGAAACAACATTAAATAGAATAGCAAAGTACTGAACGCCCTTCAACAAAAAAAATCTAAATATTCCTTTACGTAGATAACGGTGAATTATGAATTTAGATTGAACCTCCTGAACCAAGTTGTTCTTTTCTTTACACATTGTTTTTTCAGTATTTTTTTTAAGACGACAGGAATAAAATGTCACAGAACACAACCACAATTAGCCTTTGTGTTCTGCTTTACACAAATGCAGTGGTATATTAAACAGCAAAACAATGAAGAGCACCATTGTGCAATAACAATGGAAGCAGACTAAATAATAACCTGGTGTGGAGAAAGGAAAACATAAGGACAGAACATAGAATTACGTAATTGATTTAAATCATTAATCCTTGAAAATGGGTAATTTAGATTAGTTTAATTCTGCACAGATGCATTAGCGCATGGCAGAATGTGAGCCTTTGACGCTATTAAACGAAGAAACGAAAATACATCGTGCAATATCAAAAATTTGTATTTATTTAAAATGAATCATCATGGTCCAAGGGTGGATAGCCCGTTGGTGTCCACTGCACATTTCGCCATTTGTTTCATCAGCTAAGATAAATCCACTGCAGGATGATGGTCTCTTCAAGCCATTGCCATCTCTGATGTAGCTGTGGTTTAGGCGCGTCGATCGTTGGCGGGCGGATGGGGGGGGGGGGAGGCTGTTAGGTCCATACTTCACCATGCTGGTCATTGCAAGTTGATAAAGCGAGCGCATTTTGTCTCACCTCTGTCCCTCCGAGTAGCTGACTGGTACAGGTGACCAGGGGGTTCTGTGGCTGGAGCTGCACGCGGCTCTCTTAAGGACTGCCTCGAGACACGTTTGTTTATTCAGGACCAGCGTCTCTTATTCACGAGCATTCCGGCTCTTGAAATACTGAGGGTTTTGTTTTTAAACCAAATTTCAATAAAAATGACTCTTCTTGTTATTTTGGTTGCCAACCCCTGACATTGCGAGTCCAGATTACCATGGGAGTCAATTTTACCATGGGAGTGCAGTTCACCATGGGAGTCCAGTTCACCATGGGAATCAATTTTACTCTGGAAGTCCAGTTCACCATGGAAGTCCATTTTACCATATAAGTAAATTTTATCATGGGAGTCCAGTTCACCATGGAAGTCCATTTTACCATAAAAGTCAATTTTACCATGGGAGTCCAGTTTACTATGGGAATCCAGTTCACCATAGAAGTCCATTTTACCATAAAAGTAAATTTTTCCATGGGAGTCCAGTTTACCATGGGAGTCCAGTTCACCATAGAAGTCCATTTTACCATAAAAGTCAATTTTACCATGGGAGTCCAGTTTACTATGGGAATCCAGTTCACCATAGAAGTCCATTCTACCATAAAAGTCAATTTTTCCATGGGAGTCCAGTTTACCATGGGAGTCCAGTTCACCATGGAAGTCCATTTTACAATAAAAGTAAATTTTACCATGGGAGTCCAGTTTACTATGGGAATCCAGTTCACCATAGAAGTCCATTTTGCCATAAAAGTCAATTTTACCATGGGAGTCCAGTTTACCATGGGAGTCCAGTTCACCATAGAAGTCCATTTTACCATAAAAGTCAATTTTACCATGGGAGTCCAGTTTACCATGGGAGTCCGGTTGACCATGGAACTCCAGTTGACCATGGAAGTCCATTATCCATAAAAGTCCAGTTTACCAAGGGAGTCCAGTTAACCATAAGAGTCTAGTTTACCATGCACCATGCACTCAAACCTCC